GACACTAACAATGGAGATAAGGCTTCAACAATGGATCAAAAATCAATTTACTAAAGCCATATCTTTACAGTTGAATCTTGTTTTCATGTTGATTTGCAGACAGACAAGCTTTATGTTGAGATATGGAACTGTAAAATATTTAGGAATGTTATAATAAGTGAAAGGTTTTATAGAGACAGAATATTCATGGTCTGAGGAGGCATCAGGTAGTATTAAAGGCAAAAACTATCCCTGTCACATGTATATGTACATAAGACTTGCAACACTAGATTTTACTGAAATTTAAAAAATCCTATAGTTTCTAGTTGATTCTTGCTTTCCATATATGTAGGGAATAAGTTTTGCAAAAGACAAGAGATCTGGAATCCTTAGAGACTGTACCAGGAAAGGAGAAAATTTAAGGCCGGACAAGGAATCAAATCTGTGACCCCTGCATTACTAGTCAGGTGCTCTAGCCACTGAGCTATCCAGGCCAATATCCATATAGACCAACCCACCATTCATCCAATTTTATTGTCTTTGCCCTCAAAGACACAGAACCTAAATTCTTTAGTCCCTGGCAGGACTTTCAGCTGCAAGTTCAGGAGTGGACAATGGCACTTTATGTAACAGGAAAGAAGAAAATTATGGCTGAACTGGGAATCAAACCCAGGACTCCTGCATTACTAGTCAGGTGCTCTACCAACTGACCTACCTAGACACCAGCAATCAAACCTTCCTGACCACCACTTGTCTTCATCCCTGAAGATATCACAACAAATTCTTCCCTGACAGGTCTTTTACCTGTCACTTTCAGAACATATACTGTATACAGGGAAATTTTTGCCCCCGTTTTATTTTTGTCCCTTTCACCCTAGACATAATTGAGTGAATTTAAGACAGCGCGAATTCAAAGAAAACAGTATAATTTCTTAAACAAAGCCATGACTGGGTGAATTTAAAATGAGAAATGAGAATGACTGGAGCAAAACTGTTTGCAAGTGTGCAAGGGTGAAAAAACATGGGGCAAAAATAACCCTGTATACAGAATATGGCACAGCATCAAATATAACAAGAAAGAGTAAATGAAATGGACCAGACTAGGATTCAAACTCAGGCCCCCGTGAACTCCAGACAGGTGCTATACCATAGATCTGAGTTATCTAACTACCAGTGATCCAACCTGCCTCACTGCCACAGTCCTTCCTCCTTTAATGTCTTTGCTCCCAAAGATTCTTTTGCCCTGGAAGGACTTTCACCTAGAAGTCTAGGGGCAGCCAACAGCACCAAATATAACAGAAAAAGAGAAAATTTATGGATGGATCAGGGCTATACATAAACATTTTTCTTACCTGTCCATTTGGACAAGTGACTATGAAATTAAGTAGTCCAAATAAAATTTTTCTTGTCCAAAATTTTATAACTACTGTATAGTGAGTTTCTTTATAGAATATAAAATTTGGTATTTTGCATCCTCAAAGGTATGCCAATAATTTTGGCAGAACTGTTTTTTGCAGGAAACGGTGTTACATGAAGTTGTAATATTATCTGGTACCGCTTGACCAGAAGAGAGCTTCAGGTACCTTAGATATGTAAATAGAACTTCAAGACGTGTCTTCCATATTTACACACAAGTTCAGAAAAGATAAACGTTGTGTTCAGTACTTTTACGTACTGGTGCAAATATAGCAATTGAAATTTTAGTGGGCTACTATCAAACCACTAAAATGAGCCAAAGTTACCACCCCACTAAAAAATCCTGCTATACAGTATATGACAACTTGATAAATATTGTAAATTAAAAAAGTGTCTAAAATAATGTCTACAATACATTAACTGAGTCTGTTCGTTTTTTACAGTTGACAATAGCTTTTTAGTTTCTCATTTCAACTTTTTTCACAGAAAAAAATCACTTGTCCAATCTGACAAGTAACCAGCAAAATTCACTTGTCCGTGAAAAAGTGTCACTGGTACTGGACAAGTGGACAAATGTGAATGTTGGATCAAACCTTGGATCCCTACATTACTAGCCAGGCGTTCTAACCACTGAGATATTCAGGACAATATACACGGTCCATATATCCCAAAGCACTACAGAGACTACGGAAACTATCTCGGATGTTCCTTCCATCATAGAAAATAATATTAAAACATTTTCAGATCATTCTTCTTAAAACTTGATTCGTATAATCATATGACAGAGAAAAAAATATACGAAATCTGTCATGGTGATTAAAGATAGGTTTAAAAAAAATTCTATCATTAAATATTTTACAAAAACAGCTGCTAGTATTCCATTAAAGAATGCATTATCAAAGTCAAAGTATACAGTGTCAAAGAATATTCAAAGTCACAAATGGTATATTGGATTTTTACTAAAATATCAAATCTGTTTGGAAAATGCCTTTGTTCTATCAAGAAACCATGAACCCTAATATGGTAATTTTTTTCAGTTACTCAAGTGATTGAGAAAAATCACAATATACAATTTGAGTGGGTTTTTTTTTCTTTTAAAATACACATACAGATCTGATACACATAATTTGTCTCACATAAGTTATTATGTAATTATTAAGGCTTCTTGGTTGTTTTTGGCCAACATTGTTGCAGTGGACCTAATTTTTTTTAAAATTTATGCTAAGACTTGATTTCTGTAAGCTGAAAATCTTCCAGACACAAAATATTGATTAGAAAGCTAGCTCACTGTAAGATTGAAAAGAAATTAAATTCATCTACCACAGAACACTCATTATCATTTTGCTGAAGAAAAAATCATCCAGTTCCTAATATGAATTGAATCATGATATAAACCAATCCTAGAAGAGAAGTGACAAAAATTATAATAAGGAATAAAATACTTTAAACATTTTCTTTTGAGTTAAAAGAAAGAACACCATTGATTCCCAGTCTTTCAACCTAACATTCTGGTGCAAATTCAGTTGTAGATCAAAGTCTTAAATTTGACTAGACTTTATGGTCTGCATTCTTTGTATGTTGTATTACCTTACTTAAAACTTCAAAAAAGTTTGATCACTTAATTTACACCTGTTTAAAAACTGTAATCTCTCACATACAGCAAAGTCACATTAGACTTAATCCTCTGCCTCTTCTATAGAAAAAAAGGCTTATTCACAGGGTTAGGTAAAATATTGACAATACCAACATCTAACAAGTTAATATTGGAAATTTTGAGAGAGTCCGGTTAGAAAATCCATATCTGATTTTTCCATTTAATCACTGGAATAAAGGAACAACCAAATTCAGTAAGAAAACTGAGTTGATATAAAGTGTGATTGAAAACATTTAGGTGTTATAATTATTTGAATAGCATGTAATCAGAAAATGAAAATATTATTAAACAGTTGTAAAATTGTGATATAAGAGATAAACCAAGGGATAAACTGATTTACAAAAAGCTTTTAATCCTGCTTAAATCCTACAAATATTGAAACCTCTGTAGGATGAGCAGGGTTCTTTTACACCCAGGAACTGGAAAAGATAATTCAAATCTTTAAAACAAGAAATAGCAAAATTTTCAGCAAAATCATTTAAGTAAAATTAAGGGAAAGTTTAATTGCAGATTTTTGGTGTGTTTGTTTAAAAACAGAGTGCACCTGATGATATATGTCCTTTTTGACCTTGATCTGACAGAAGCATTGACATTGACCTTCGACTTGTCAAAAATGAAGTCTTATTGCGTAGCTCAGTTGTGACCCAGGTTATAAAGTTATGAAAAGACAGTCAGAGAGACAAGCCCTTAGGTCAATATAAGGCACCCTCTCCATGCTCACTATCTCATATCTAGGGGGCAATAAAGTACTTTAATTGCATGTCAATGTGCATGTGTACATCAAAACAAAGCAAATTAATACTGAACTGCGTCAAAACAATTCACAGGTCAAACAGTCCAACTTCTCTCTAAAACATATTTTCAAGGCCAATGGTTTTGTCTTGATCAGATCATAGACAACTGATAATTAACAAGATAAACATCTCCATTTATTGATAACAATCGGCAATGCAACTTAGGAATATTTGAAAAATATTAAACGATTTAAATGTCAGATTCCAGGCTGTGGGAATGATATGAACATATTCAAGGTTATTGTTAAAAATAAGCCATTGATATAGTATTTTTTATGCAATATGTTGGTTTTAAATTAATGATGTTTACTTAATCATGTTGTAGCAGTAAACAAAGATATGAAGATCCCTAATATGGCAATGACATGGGCTTACTATATCAATATTCCCAGTATCTATCTTTTTCTGGAGATTACTTTAAACCTGGCATGTTTCATTTCTATGTATATTTAGCATATTTATTTTATATATTAAACCCAAAATGCTAAGTAAACAAAAGAAAAAACATTAGTCTGAATTTTTTTGCGATATTTCTTCATACATATCGATATTCCTATCATCCTCACACATATATCATCCCAGCCCTAGTGTCCAGGTGCAAATACATGTATTTGAAATTCTTTTTTTTTTTTTTTTTTGAACTTTTTCTAACTTGCCTCCACTCTGAAGCAGACAGGGTTCCATGAAGAAAGTTCATTGCTCAGTATTACAATAATTGTTCTAGACTTCTGATGAGTCAAAAGAAGGTAAAATTAAAAAAATCTGTAAATTTATAAATTTAGCTCTACAATGGAACTCTAGACTTTTGTTCTCCTTCATTCATAGATGGGGCAAACTGTCTTTTGAAATTGGTCAAGTCTTAAATTTCAGAAAAGAATCTGAAAATTTTCAAAAGCTTACATACATAACATGATGTGCAATGCCATACAAGAATGAATAGCAATAGTTTGTTTAAGAAAAGTAATGGTCAATATCATGGAACATGTGCACCTGAATGAACTTGGACAAAGCAAACACTTGCTCATTTCAATGACAGGAACCTGATCCATGAAGAGTATGTCAAACTGTATGGTAACAAACTCACTAAGCTACTACTCTACATGTTCCACTTTTGAAAACAGACTAATAAGATAGCATCACTACTGGCTTTTACTCACCTCAACAGCATCTTGCATGTCAAACTGTGGCATGGAGGCTGGGGTACCACGCCCCTCGGATACCTCTCGGATTTTGTTGGTTTCTATGGCTCTGATCATATTGTCCTCAAAATATTCCTGTAAAATTACAAAAATACCCCAGCTATGTATTTCAGAATAAAAGAAAATACAATTTTTATGAACAACTCATTATTTATCTCACTTGTATGACTTTGTGTCTTGGCTGCACTTATTAACTCCTAGGCATTCCCATGTTTTATTAATTTTTCAATACATTACCAAAGAACAGACAGATTAGTTCAATAAGTAATGTAAATGTACAAAGGAAAAAAATTGAGTAACTCATTGCAAATTTTGTCACTGAAGACCATCATTCCAACCAGCTATTGATTAACTGATTAGTAGCTGCCATCCCTGAAGTTGGTACTTACTTATAGTGCATTTCTTTTGAAATCACATTCAACCGAACATCCTAAAATACACAGTAGTCTGAGTAGACACAAACCTGTTGTTTTTTCATGGCATAATGAACAGCACTCTTCACCAGTAAATCTGTCAGGACTTCTTCCTGTGCTTTTTTGTCCAGGCTGCCATAAGTTACCTCCCTTTGAACACCATCTTTTGTACTGATGACTTTAATGGAGGCTCCTTGACTTGGTGGCAATCCATGATAAATATCAACATCCTGGGTTACTGTTATGGGTGGAATTGAAAAAATAAACAAAAAGCTATAAAGGTCACTAAAGATTTAATTTGTTCAGGTAGTATTAAAGTAAGTAAATAAGAGAGGATATCTGAATATATATTTTTGTTTTCACAAGTTTTTTTTCTACTTTATTTATACATCTAACTAACAACAAGTTCTTTACTTTTATTCAATCATAGATAATTTTTTCCTAAAAAAAAAAAGTACAATTCCACATCAGGTTTTAGACTTGAACAATTGTAAAATTTCTAGTACTCACCACATGTTTCTGCTGATTCCGGTCGGATCCTGTAGAATGTGTATCCAGACAAGCTTCCCGGAGACATCAGCATACTCCTCATCAGTTTATAGGGAGTGGGGTAATGTGACATGTCATCGTTCAGTCGACGCTGAAGATGAGGCATCAGAGGATTGTAGTAAAAAAGAGATTTCTCTGTCAAATATCCTAGAATGAAATAAACATATTGCATACCAAATGCTGACACATATTCTGAGCCATATATAAATATTAGGGATGTCAACGAATATTCGAGTACTCGACTATCGTTTGATCATACCGACTATCGACTAAAATTTTTTTAGTCAGTTATTCGTTAAAAATTTGCTACTTAATTGTAATATCAAATTCAAGGTAAAAAAAAAGTTCATTTATTAACGTATCAGTGTTCAGTGTTCTCTTGAGTAAAACTCAGGGAAAGGTTTAACCGGTCTTCATTAATTGTTCAAAGATTTTTTTTGTTCGGCAAACATGCATTGGCATACTTTAAAAAATGTCGCATGCATTGCCATACTTTAAAAGATGTCAGATCCAAATTGTAAAGTTTCAACCTGCAATTCCGTAAGATTTCATATAATGAAACTACATGTGTATCAATTAATGAAGAATAATTAAACAGCTGTTACATATTTGTAAATACATGCAAACTGGGGGACAGTTATGAGCGTAATTTAAAGGTGTGTCTTTCTGATATTAAAATCAATCATTTTAAAATTGTGTTGTTTGCAAAAAATCTCATAGTTAAAATTTATCGCTAGCTCTCTTTGATTTTATAAGAGTTACGATTTAATTGTTTAACAATCACGGGTCATTGACAAAACACATTCAAATGGCTTCAGGTAAGAAATCAATAACGGGTACATGTACTAACAGCATGAAAAGAAAGGATAAATGCGAGCATTTAATGTTCTGTATATAGATAAAATGTGCAGTTAATATTATATATGAAATCAAATACATTGGGTACATATATTTATTACTACATAAATGTTAACGATTCAATAATTCGTTATTCATTGTATAATGGTGATAGCGTAGATTAAATATTGTACAGGCTAGCAGTTTGTTAAAGACAAACACGAAAAATGACATGAAAAATTAATTTAAATTTCAACGAGTACTCGACTATCGTTCGACTAAAGCCTCCGACTATTCGAATAAGTTGTCCGAGTAAAATTGACATCCCTAATAAATATATATATTTGTCCATTAAATTAAATGTAAAATTGCCGCCAATTAAATAACTATGTCCCTTCCAGTGGCTTTTTTTCCAAAAAAAAAAATCTTACAACTAAGACAAAAAAATTTCCATTCCTCAAGAAGTATCTAAGCTGTAGTAGGGCACAATCTTAGATATTTTATGATTTTATAATCTTATAAATCTTATATATCTATTACATGAGATTATATTGTAAAAAATATTTTAAAAAGTAACATATATTTACTTATAAAACAACAAATTATAGGGATGTCAAATTTTCATCTTAGTCATAATATGTTTTGTGAAAGAGCCACAGTTCCTAATTAAAAGATGTAAGTGGAAATAGCCGTACCTTTGCTGATAACCTTTTCTAAGACAGTGTCATCCCAGCACTTGGTCCAGGAGGACAAATATCGTTTTGCTGAAAATCCTGGCCGGATTTGTCTATCAAAATAGTCCCTCTTTCTTCTTCCATGAACAAACTTGAGGTACATACCATCTTCTCTGTCTGAATCCTGTATAAAGCAACAACATAACTTTCAACTTTAATACAGTTGAACTTCGATATCTCGAACACTGATATCTCGAATACCATGGATATGTCAAAGTGATATGGAAGTCCTAACAACTTATTCTTTAAGTATTTTACCCCTGATATCTCAAATCGGTAAAATGAGAGCATGATCCACCAACAATAATATAGCATCTTTGCAAAAATATTTATCTGCAAACCAAAGTGAAATCTTTGCATCTGTAGTTTATTCCATTAATCTAATTAAATTTATCTTTAAAATTACTTATCAATATGTAAAGTTAGCTACTTTTAGTAATTAATTTTTTTATCAGATTACCTGAGCACCAAAGGAAAGAATAGATTTTGCCAGATCATCAACAGTTCTCAGATCAATTTCATCAGCACTTTTTGACAGATGTGATTCTCTGTCATCCATGCTCATGTGACTTTTGCGCACATGGTGATGTGTTTGTCTAGTACGGTGTGCCATGTCCTCAGAAAACAGAAGCAGAGCCCCTTTTCTGGTGGTGAATGTCTTAGGCATGCTAATCTCTTGGACCGATTTTTTAGATGCCCGCGAAAATGAGTATGTTGGTTCATCGTATGCGTAAGATGGCTGTATTGGTGGTAGGTAGACCCTACTGGAGTCATTTACAAAATTGTAGTAGTCCTACAATTTAACAAAAATAAATACATTAATTAGTATCAAAGGTTATATACATATTTTTCCATTCTTATGTTATTCATATGCAGAAACACAACAGCATATGCTAGTGTCAGTGACTACATAAAATAATGTTGCGTTTAGTATAAGTAATAAATATTATAAATGTTTCTATTATGATGATGTGTAAAAATACAATGTAAATACAATAGAATCTGATTTACCAGTACATTACATCCAGCCCATTAGACTATATACGTCACTTAGTTTATCATACATTATATTACAAAATTTTCTATAGAGATTTTTTAGATATTCAAAAATAAAAAAAAAGGTTATCCTAGAGAAGTTTCTTGGAATAAGATAAGACTATCAGCCATCATCAATTCATAGACCAAATTTTGTAATAATTAAAAGACCAAATTTTGTAATTAAAAAAGGGGAAAAAATAAAAAAAATTATAAAACAATTAATTTAACATGTTTAAAAGAAAAATCTTTTGTGAATTATTTGTTTTATGAGCATGATAATGCATATAGATGGACTTCTTACCATCAAATAAATCGATGGGATTAGGCATGTGTATTTCACAGTATATCAGACAAAAAAACTTGCATACAAGTTATTTTCCTTTGTAAACATGGTAATTTCATATTCACTAAAATATTATCAAATAATATATCTGTCATATCGGGAAGTTCTGAATAAAATAGATTTGATAACAACAGTCTACTCAAAGCTTTTCTCTGCTATCAATCACCTTTTGTTTAAACCAGATCTGTATCATGTGGAAAAAAGGCTTCATGTCGTGCTTAACCACCATTAATGAGCTGGTATACATTTTTCATTAGTTCTTTATTGAAGCTTAGCACAACAATACATTTAAATCGAGTTCTCTCTCTAGGGTTTAATTTCCCCATTTCTAATTCATGACCTTATATTTCCACACAAACCAAGTGGAACTAATCACACTAACCTATTCTTTTTAAATCATATTCATGCAGTCAGATTTACTTAACAGTTAAATCATTAAGTTGTTACATATACACATGTATCAATGTTTAGCGACTAAAAAATAAAAAATCTAGAAAAAGTGAATTAAAATCTTTTGTTCACTGTCCTCTTTGAGAATAAAGCGCCTGACATTTGGTTAAAATTGTTTAAACCCTTGACATAATATGGGGAAAAATGACGTACATTTTTCAAATCTGAATTATGAAGCCTATTAAGTTAGATCTTTCCCTTGGCAGACACAAAGTCACAGAAATATAATTGTTATACAATAAATTTATATCCATTTAGGCTAATTATGCCCCAATTTTCAAAAGATAATAAAGCGAATGTTAACTCCTGTATAATAATTCATGATTTTTCACCATAAAAAGTGTAATTACCTGAGGTTCAAATACAACGTCGATTTTTTCGTGTCCATTTTTAGTTATTTCGCCCACACCTCGGCTAAGTAGCGAAAGATTGAGAGCGCTGCCCCCTCCAACCATCATAGAAATCTTTTTAGCAAACAAACAGGTGCCCGTTGACTTAAAATAACACCTAAGTCGGCTAATTGAGTAATAAAAAGTTACATTCTCATGCACACAATAGACTCAAGTAATATAAATCCTTGTCAAATTTAGTTAATTACACTTCTACATGTTTTTTATGATTGAAAAACGTTTTTTGTCGTATTAGTTTCACAGATTTTCTGCTAATCCGACTTCCATGTTGTTTATCGTTGCTGTGCGCCTCTGACGTCATATCCGGCGAAGTTGGCGCGCATTTTGTAAAGGCCTAAGGGTTGGGGTTAACAAAATTAATGATGAACGCCCTACAATTTTTTGTTTCTTTTACAACTTATTGATTAGTAATATTTACCTTTTATCGGGGATGCTCAACATATGTTTATATATGAGGGTTGTCCCAGAAAAATGCAAACTTTTATTTAATTCATCACGCAGAGACATATTTATGTAATAAGTGACAAGATCAACAACTTTGGCCCTTGACCTAGAAGTTTGACCTACTTTTGAAAAACTTTAACCTTGGCCATAACTTTTAAACGGTTGGTGCTAGGCTTTCGTATTTAACATGTGTATTCCTTGTCAATGAACAGAACAGAACAGAACAGAACATTTATTTTCTAATTTAGAGCCCATAACAGACAAGTATGAAATTATTACAATAATAAAGAAAAGATATGCCAATGAGGAAGGCCTTTCCTCAGTTCCGTTGGCACCATTAATTTTGACCATTTTTCCTTGACCTTGATGTTTGACTTTCTTTTGAAAAACTTTAACCTATTCCATATCTATTCAATGGTTGCTGCAAGGGTTTTCATATTTCACATGTATATTCCTCGAGAAAAGATCTTACTTTTGGTACCAACATATTTGATTTGCATTTGAGAAAGTTTAACCTTTGCTGTAAGTTGCCATACGGGGTCATCAGTGTTTCACAAACATATCTTGTTTTTTTTTTATTATTATTATTATTTTCACTGAATAATAAAAGTTTGTTCATTATCGAGATTGGAAGATTGTCTCTATTTATTTATTTATTTTGCTTTTTTCTTACATGTGGACCTCCCGGAAAAAATCCTGGATCCGCGCCTGCAGGGAATTAATTTCGCGAAGACTTTTCATTCCTCTAGTATGTCCTTGATGGGTTATTATCAACTGAAAATCAAATGTATGGTGGAATTTCGGTGTCAATTTTTATAGTTTCTATTAAAGATAAGTGATATTCACAAAATTGACTAAATTCACAAATGTTTTGACGTCGTCGATGTTGCGTCGAAAGCTATTATGTTAGATTCCTTTAGCTAACAGGCGCGGATCCAGGATTTGAAGTTAGAGTAGCGCCAAAAGTAGGCAGGGGGTCTGGGGGCCGCCCTGAGGCCCCCAGTGGGTCCAGGGCGAAGCCCTGGTGGGGGTCCAGGGGGCGAAGCCCCCGTAAGCTCCTTGATTCTAGAGATTTTTTAGGGTAAAAATGAGGTCTACCAAGTAGAAATTTTTACATTTTCTCGACGAAACTATGATTTACGCTAACTTTGACAATTTTAGGGGGGGGGGGCGCCGGGGGCGCCCCCCCCACCTTAAATCCGCCACTGGCTAAGGGGAAAATGTTATTTATATTGATATTTTGTTAAAATTTCTTTGTAGTATAAAAATGTTGATAATGATGCACGTCAATTTTACAAAACAAAAAATATTAAAATTTTTGCGTTTTCCCGGGACAACCATCGTGTATGTACATATTCGTTTGGATTTGTAGTTCTAGCGTGTAGACTGTACCATTAATTCTATTAGGACTGTTTGTTTGCTTAAATCAGCACTGGTTTGCAATGCTTGGGTCAAATTAAATCATCAAATAAATCTCTTTTGACTTTCCTAAAAATATATTTATTTTAGATTAATGTATGCATGCATGGCCGTAGGAACCGGGGGGCACGGTTGCCGATATATAGATCACTATAGAAAACATAGCTGCTATATGCTTGTGCCCCCTCAATAAAAACGTCTGATGACCTTTTTTTTTTTTTTTTTTTTTTCCTTGTCAAGGAAATTTTGGTAGTTGATAGTACCCCCTCAACTGAAAATGTATGGCTGTGCACCCCCCCCCCCCCAAACTGAAATTGCTTCCTACGGGCCTGGCATGAATGGACAGCTTTAAAGGGTAAATTTGTATCCCCCCTTAACCTCATAAATGCCCCCATCGACCTGTCCGATGCATGCTTTTGAGCATCGCACAGAGTGTTAGAAAGTAACTCATACCTTTGTATATTAGTATGTTTGAGTGACTAATATCTTTGTGTGTTGGTGAGTTTAAGTGTTAGACAGTGTCTAATACCTTTGTGTGTTGTAGTGTAAGACGGTGTCTGATACCTTTGTGTATTGATGTGTTTGAGTGTTAGACAGTGTCTGATACCTTGTGTACTGGTGTATTTGAGTGTAAGACAGTGTCTGATATACCTTTGTGTATTGATGTATTTGAGTGTTAGACTATCTTATATCTTTATGTATTGGTGTGTTTTAGTGGTAGACAGTGTCTGATACCTTTGTGTATTGGTGAGTTTGAGCGTTTTGGCAACTTACTTGTCTACCACCTTTGTGCATGTACGGGTGTATTGTTGTATTTGGGTATTGGGCAGTATTGTGTATTAATTAGTGTGTTTGGGGGTTCAGTTTACGTTCACTATATTGTCTGTTTGTGGGTTAGACAGCCTGATGTCTTTATTTAGATTAGGCAGTATCTGAATCCTTTGTGTATTGGTGAGTTTGAGTGTTAAGCAGTGTTTACTTTAATACCTATATGTATTGGTGTATTTGAGCATTAGGCAGTATGGCCAAGGTTTAAGTTTTTCAAAAGTAGGTCAAACTCCAAAGTCCCGGTCAATGGGTCAAATTGTCGGTATTGTCACAAGGATTGCATATGTGAAGTATGAAAGCCCTAGAACCAACGGTCCAAAGGAAATGGTCAAGGTTAAAGTTTTCCAAAAGAAGGTCAAACTCCAAGGTCAAGGTCAATGGGCAATAATTATTTGTATCTAAAGGAAGGGCTTGCCACAAGGATTACACATGTGAAGAATAAAAGCCCTAGCACCGACTGTTCAAAAGTTATGGCCAAGGTTAAAGTTTTCCAAAAGAAGGTCAAACTCCAAGGTCAAGGTCAAAGGGTCAAAGTTGTTGGTATCCAAAGGAAAGTCTTGTCACAAGGATTACATATGTGGAGAATGAAAGCCCTAGCACCAACCATTCAAAAGATATGGCCAATGTTAAAGTTTTTCAAAAGTAAGTTAAGCTCGTGGGTTAAAGTCAAAGGGTCAAAATTGTTAGTATCCATATAAAGGTCTTGTCACAAGGATTACAAATGTTAAGTATGAAAGCGCCCTAGCATCAAGCGTTCAAAAGTTATGGCCAATGTTAAAGTTTTTTTCAAAAATAGGTCAAACTCCAAGGTCAAGGTGTCAAAGTTGTTGGTATCCAAAAGAAGGTCTTGTCACAAGGCTTACACAAGTGAAGTATGAAAGCCCTAGCATCAAGCGTTCAAAAGTTATAGCCAATGTTAAAGTTTTTCAAAAATAGGTCAAACTCCAAGTCAAAGGGTTAAAGTTGTTGGTATCCAAAGGAAGGTCTTGTCACAAGAATTACTCATGTGAAGTATGAAAGCCCTAGCACCAACCGTTCAAAAGCTATGGCCAAGGTTAAAGTTGGGAGAAAAATTGTAAAACTGGGTCAAGCTTCAAGGTCAAAAGGTCAAAAATGATGGTACCCAAAGAAAGGTCTTGTCACAAGGAATACACATGTGAAATATGAAAGCCATAGCTCCAACCAATCAAAAGTTATGAGCAATGTTAAAGTTTTTGCGGACAAACAGACGGACAGACGGGGCAAAAACTATATACCCCGATACGGGGGCATAATAAAAAAAGAACAATATACGCGAACTTTCTTTAGAAAGTGCGGATATAAATATCTCGAAGTATTGTACACTTATGTTCGGATATTTTTCTGCTGTCCGCGTTCGATTTCATGCATCGATCCGGAAGTTTACGTGTAGCAACAGCTGCGCAGAACCGGAATACGACAGCTTCCAATCAAGTGTTGCCACATTTGCCGGTACGGCAAAATAACTTGAACATTGCATCAACTAAACAGCTTAACTTGAACAGAAATAACAAAAGAACATAGCAGGGAGACATTTCTCTGTCGGTAAGTGACTTAATTACGCCAACATCTGCTTCCAACCGCTCTGGTGTCCAGATCTTTTCAGAAGTGACACATTCAGTGAAATACACGTGTTGTTTACAACCCACTAAACCAGCTGATTCACTTGTCAGTTGCATATTTATCTTGAGTATTAGTAAATTATATGACATTTTGATTTTAAAAATGTCAGTTATCTCTGAAAATTAAAGTAAATTTTAGTTAAGGATGAAACATACATTCTCACATATGTACCTTGCAAGAAAAAGATTATTTTTGAATTTATCAATAATGTAACATGACTTTGCATATCTCTGCAATTTTACCTGTATTTATATTATAACAGCTTTGGTTTTAAGATTGAAAAAAAAAATCTGTTTAAAAAGGGGGATATCAACAATATTCTGGCATGTTCTTAATTCTAGAAACTTCTCTAAGGCTTACAATCATGGGAAAATGCAAACATGTTCTCAATAAAATACTGTGATATTTTAAAGAGACTATAAAACTTTGCCATATATGTTGCGATCAGTGTAATTATAATTAAAAGTCTAGGATATCAAATCCGACACATCTTGCACAGATTCTTGTTTATCATGTATATAGTTGGATTAATACCAGCATGTTATGTAATTGTTGTTATCAGTTTAGCCCTAGAGGGGAATGTAGGTTTTTACTAATATACACTCAGTAATACTTCCTGATTTTTATGCCGATAAAGTATTTTATATGATGGAAAAAAGTTGCATGTTTTATCTCAACAAAAATCCAAAATTAATCTTACAGATACCATGAATCCCAATAAGAAGATGGGCGTGTTTGGCGTGTGATCTGCAGGAATAAGGCGTACGAAACATTTATAGTTTAAATGTCTACGATTTGGTCGGCTGGCCACAGCTGGACATACTTTACAAAGTTACACACATGAGAAAATGTTACATTTAGTTTGAAATACTTTGTCAAATTAATATATCAGTCCGCTTATCTTAATAATTACTACATGTAAAACTTAGTAACGCTTCATATAAATAATAAACACCTATAGGGTAGAGTTAAATGTAATTACATGTATACATGTATATTAAAGTATCAGTAAGTTGGAAGAATTACTTTCGCTTTCGGTGTAACAGAACCAGAATTTATCTATTTGAAAAAAAATCAGTACATAAAATTAAACTGACAAAAGAATTGATTGTTTGTATACTAAAAAATATTAACGCTCCATGTGAGGATCGAACCAAAAATATTTCTTTTTCATTGCACTGGACGGGTGACGCATACTACTGAGCTGTCACCGCTACACACATTTTATGGTTTTTAAAGCGACAATGAAGCACCGCAGTTACACACTGGAATTTTTTGGAAAAAGTTCATTTTTTATCGTCTCTGGGTCTTCTCTCCATTTTTTTTTTTTTTTTTACAAATGTTTGTTAGTTTCTTTGAATTAAAATGCACACAAATAACGTTTCAGTATCATGGAGAGATGACCCAGAGATAGCAAATTTTTATAAAAACGTGTTTAAAAATGTAACATTTTGTCCCAAATGACTCATCTAGCCAATTTTCAAGTTCTTTTTTAGCAAATCAAAATACAATATCGGGAAAATATTTCCCTTTCCCATTTCACAGGAACCCAATACATCAAAAGAATGCTAAAATTTCATGTGACAGATCAATGAAATTTTCACTTTTTCAAGTGCGCCCAGATTCCTGTGGAATGCCAATCAAAAGCCCCCTTGTTCTTTGATGATAAATAAAGTTTAGTTTATCTGTGTTACAGTTATGCACTGCCTTCAAGGAGGATGGCTAGCTTTGCTAGCAATAATAAGCCTGGTGCTACCTACAGCTTGTAAGTATGAAAATAATACATTATAAATAGTAGAAATAGGGATATCAGGTTTAAGATGATGCCAATTTATCAACTGATATTTATGAATGAAATTTTGAGAATATGTGAATCCCCAGTTAGTTTAACATATTACACTCCAAATATATATATTTTTTGCATAATATTTGTATAAGAATAGTGATATACAGATAAATGACATTGGTAGACTTTCCACTGTTATTTTAGATGGTGCCAGTCTTGCTGTGATGTCCATTGATCTTGGAAGTGAATTCATGAAAATAGGAATTGTGAAGGTAAGGTGATGAATAAAATCAAGCTTTATTGAAATCAGAGAAACTGATCTAGAGATCTAGAGAGAGTACTTTGATATAATGTCCATGTACTAATTAAGATTACTAATTATTTCTTGAATATGTTTCAGCCTGGTGTTCCTATGGAAATTGTCTTAAATGAGTGAGTATCTTTTAGTCTCTTGATGAAAGAAAATACCAAAAACATTTATGTCTGCTGTTAGGTGGAATCAATCTGCATAACAGTAAAGGGTTTATTGGTGGATCTGTAAAGAATGTTGCCAAATCTCTATGTTAGTATATTAACATTATTAGGTAATGAACTTTTTATGGCACACTTTAGTTATTAACCATCATTTTCCATCAAGAATGAATTCATCTTGTTATTTATGATTTTAATTGGTGCTGTATATTTCATCATAAAGAATCAGTTTTTGTATGCTTCCCAAATTTCATTATGACATTTTGTCTTTTTATAGCGAATCTGCAAGAAAGACATCAACTATTGTAGCTTTAAGAAATGGGGAAAGATTGTTTGGTTCAGCAGCAGAAAATACGGTTTGTTAATGTTTATATGAACTGTTTACCATTTTAGTTTTCAAAAATTGAATATTTCATGTATTTGCATTAATACAGCGTCCACATGGCTTTTAGAACATTTCTGTAAGAGATTATCTATAAATTATGCACATACATTTAAATGAATGAAACTTTTTCCAGGCTGTGAAATTTCCAAAGATGGCATATTGGTATTTGACACAAATAATTGGTAAACGGTTTGAAGACCCACATGTAGAGATGTACAGAAAAAGATTTCCTTATTATAACATAATCAAGGATGAAGTTCGAGGGACACCATTATTTAAAGTGGATGAGTAAGTACCAAAGGCATTTGAACATTTAAATCATTTCAAAGAAATTGATGAGCTCATCCTTTTTTAATTAATATATAAAATGTAGTATATCTACTCTCAAATGCTTTTTTGTTTCACAATATTGGAAATGCATGTTTATTGCACTTTTATATACATGTATTAACCAAAATAGGTGCTTATTGAAAGGACAGGAGGTTCATCTTGCAATGTACAGATTTTCATTAGGTCCTTGTCAACTTTTCAAACATTCAGTAATTTTTTTTTTATAGTGAGACCACATACAGTCCAGAAGAGTTGTTGGCTATGGTGCTGGAAAAAGCCAAGAGTTCAGCCGAGGCATTTGCAGGTAATCCCCTCTCCCCCTACTGAATTGTAAAGTGAATTTTGTTGATATTAAAGGGTGAAAACTGATTTATATTCATAGTAACAGATTATATGTTGTATGTAAATTTTTTTCTTAACTAAGACTAAGCAAAGGTCATGAGAGACAGTAGTGTCTGAAAGCTTGACCATACACCAGTGTTTATATATAATGAACCTATTTTACCCATGATGCTTGTTTGTTTTCAGATACTCCTATTTCTGATGCTGTGATCACCGTTCCCTCCTACTTCACACAAGCTGAGAGACGGGCTGTAAGAGAAGCTGCGGAAATGGTGGGAATCAACGTCCTACAGCTGATCAGTGATAATGTGGCAGGTAATCTAAAACATATGTACGTGCAAAGTAACAATCATGGGGCCAAAAAAAGTCTTGATGGGCTCACATCTTCAGTTGTTTTCTATACTTGTCTCTTTATGACTGAAATTTTTTTTTGGAATTGTGTGAGTTCATTGAAATATGAATAAAGCTATGCATCCATCTGTAAAATACATCATTATCAATCTTTTGATAGTTGCCTTGAACTATGGTGTGTTTAGAAGAAAAATGTTCAATAGCACTACACAGTACTACATGTTTTATGATGCTGGAGCCACAAGTACCTCTGCCACAATTATAGGTTAGTGGCAAACTGCCAACTTTTATTGAAATTATCTAAAGAGTGAATATCAAATGGAGTTTGACAGATCTTAAGTATGTAGTTTTAATTTTAATTGTTGGTTTTGTACAGGATATCAGATGGTGAAAGTGAAAGAGGGAGACCGAGTGGAGACATACCCTCAGTTGTCTGTTAAGGGAGTAGGGTAAGGCTGAGTCCCAGTAAGAGTACTTCTCTATGATAAATATACAGCACTCTAATAGTCTCAGCAGGAAATATCTTGTTAAGATAAAAAGACTTTAGATATTATATTATCATTACTATATTAAATGTAATTAGAAGTCTGTTCAATTTTCATTCCTTTACTGACTGGAGAGATGGTTGGGAAAGTGATACGCCAAGTGTATTTGGCTAGAGATGTGTAATATTTGTTGGGGTCAATCAAATGAATTTTAAAAATTTCATTTATGTTAGTTTTGACAAATCGTTGGGAGGTCTGGAGATGACTCTACGACTGAGAGAGCACCTTGCCAAATTATTTAATGCCCAGAAGAAAACCAAAACTGATGTCTTTACAAATGATAGAGCCATGGGCAAACTGTTTAAAGAGGCTAATAGATTGAAGAAAGTCCTAAGTGCAAACACAGAACACATGGCACAAGTAAGGCTGGACTTTTTATTTTGCAAGTACACTGTACATGTATATGTTTAAAGTGCAGTTCATTTGTTCCCAGTGTGGCAGGGCATTGGTTGTGCAAGTTAATTTTTTTAACGCAAGGAAAAACACAATCTCTATAACTGCTGGGAGAGAAGAATACTACAGAGTTTTACCTCTATGTACAAAATATTTAGAAAGAGAAAAAAGTTTTGAATAATATTCACAATGACCATAAATTTCAAGCAAAGTTGCAGAATATAATAGTTACATTGTTGCTGCATGGATGCTTATTTATACTAATGCTATTCTCATTTTTCCCTCAGGTGGAGGGCCTATTGGAGGACATTGATTTCAAGGCCAAGGTCACTCGAGATGAGTTTGAAGAAATGAACAAGGATTTGTTTGAACGTGTCCTCAAACCTATTGAAGATGCACTAAAAACATCACATGTCACACTGGTATGGCAAAAGTATTTAAGGTTCATTGACCTTCTGATGAGGGAGGTAACTCTCACTAGGATAAATGACTATTATTCCTTAATAGAATTCTCAACTTTAAAGACAATTTCTGTCATTTTTTTTCCTCCAAAGTATGCTGAAATTTTTTTTCTATATTTAAATTACAAATTAGATTTCTTTTGGAAAATTGGAAGCATTAAAACAAAATTTCATATGAGTGAACAGGGATGATGAACCTTAAATATAATAAATTTAGATTTGCATGATTTCTAATTGGTTGAGTTTCCTCAACTAATTTATATTTCTTTTCTCTTTTTTCCCCTACAGCCAGAAATTACAGATGTAATTTTGATGGGTGGTGGAACTAGAGTCCCTAAAATGCAGGACATGTTACTGAAATACATTAAAAGGTATGTATACACTAGGTAGTCCCAGAATAAGTGTCACCTGTAGTTTGTTAAACTGTTTTGAGTCTGGCAACAATATGAACCCCTATTTTACAGAGATGTCTTGGGTAAAAGCATTAACACAGATGAAGCTGCAGCATTAGGAGCTGTGTATCATGCTGCTGAACTTGGAAAAGGATTCAAAGTTAAAAAGTTCTTAATCAAGGATGCCTGTCACTATCCCATAGTTGTAAGTATGAATAACATTTTCTTTGCAAAGGTATACATGTAAATGCTAAACTTTGAGCACTCTGAAATGTTTTCGATACAAATTAATACAGACAGAGAGCTGCTTGCTATCAGAATCAAATTAAAACAGTTCAAACTGGAGACCCTCAATTTCAAATGTAGTTTAGAATTTTTAATTGTTTTCTCAAGTGGATTCTGCGGGATCTTGCATGTACCTTCATCTGTACATAGATTTGTTCATCATGTATAATAGTTCTTGAAGAAACTATACAGAAGTTGCTTATATAAACAAACAAAACTGGATAGCAAGTTTTCTAGGAAGAATTTTTTTTAGTTTGGAGTTCCTATTTCTTTCTGCTAATTTTAAATTTGTTTAAAAATATTCTCAAAATTTTCATGTTTTTTCTGCTGTAGGTAGAATTTGAGAAACAAACAGCTGAGACTACGGAGGACAAGCCTAAAGTTGTCAAAAGGACATTGTTTGGTAGAATGAATCCATACCCTCAGAAAAAAGTGATGACCTTCAACAAGCATGTGAAAGATTTCTCTTTCAATGTCACATATGGAGACTTAAGTTTTCTGAGTGCTGAGGATTTAAAGTAAGTCAAGAAAAATCTAGAAAATAAATGTGAATAAGTTCTTTGCTTTGAAACTAGAGTGCAGAGGTTAATGTCTTCTTCATATGAGAGATGTAAGTGTTGTTCCATATTATTCCGATGTAAAACTCTCATCAACTGCAGATAAGTACAAACTGGTAATTATCATTTTCTTTGCTGTTTAGGTCCTTCCCTGACCATCTGATCCACACCTATCACTTGAAGGGAGTGGAGGAAGCATTAAAGAAACACGCTGAAAAAGCCGAGAGTAAAGGGGTGAAGGCTCACTTCAGGATGGACGAGGATGGAATCCTACATCTAGATAAGGTAAGGCAATTGTGAAAGACATGGAGATATTATACGTCATTGTATGGGAAAAATGGAGTACATTTTTAATGTTAACCTGTGTTTTATAAAACAGGTAGAATTTGTGTTTGAGAAGGAAGGCGAGGCAGAAGAATCCACTTGGTCAAGTGAGTAGAGATAATTTTCTTTATGAAATATTAGTACTCTAAGTTGAAATTTTGATGTTTTATTTTTTGACATGTCTTGAATGTTCTATACAGAGCTTGGTGATACTATAAGTGGGCTGTTTGGTGGGAAAGACAAGAAAGAAGAGGAGAAAAAACCAGCTACAGATGAAACTGCTCAAGAGGTAATGTCCAAATGATTAATGACAGGTACAGTTTATATTCTATGAGTATACTGCTTTGTAGAAAAGTTTTGAGATATCATTATCACAATCCCCAGTGCATACAGTATACTAACAAATTGTTGCAATGTTATGTTTTTTTGAAAGCTCATTTATTTTTGAACATGTACATATGATATGCATAAAACAAAACCTTGGTACATCCTTTCTTAAATGTTGTTTCCTTTTTGGTTAAGTTTATTTTTTTTTTGTTTTGTTTTTTAATTTTTAAAATTTGGTTTTTCTTCATATTTTTTGTTGAACTGCATGCTTAATTTTCCTAAAGGGAGACAAATCCAGCGATAAGTCTGGTGAAGGGAAAAAAGAACCTGATGACCAACAACCAAAAGCAGACAGTGGGGACAAAAAGGTTCCTGAAAAAATCATAGTCTCTGTCTTTGTCCTTTTTTTCATTTATGTTTACTAATCTCTCTGTTTTCAAATCTTCACATGTACTGGTATGTCTCAATGCTTAAGCTAAGTAAAATTGATATTATTGTTCTCAGGCCAATTTTCTTAAAAACAGATGAGGACAGGAGGCTTTTTTTGTTTACCTTATTATAAATTAGACACGAGGCATTTCTTTCATTCCAGAATTTTCTATATATTCTTTCTATATATTATGACTGGAGTCATTCTGTAGATATATTTGATATAAAATCACAAAATTTCCAAATATATGCTTATTTATCATTTTTCTTGAAGTATCCATGTCAATTGGCTGTCGATGTCAACATTAATAAGAAATGGATACTGGGGAAAAAAATCAATTGCAAAACAAGAAAATGAGGGAAGAATTTTGTCCCCAAGATTGGTCTCCACTTTATCAACTCTTTATTTTATTGAAAATATTGAAAATTTATTGAAAATATGATAAAAGTTGCAATGCTACCTCAAAATGGATGCGCGGGGGCCTGAGAACCATAATTTCTATTATATGTAGCTTTATTGTGTTCCCCTGATCATCTTCCACAGATCTTCTGTAACTCTGTCACTGCAGTGCATTTTATCTCGTAATACATTAATGTCTGTCATTACATAACACTTTATAATGTACATTGTACATTTTGAGAATATTACAGTTTTCCAGATTATGTGCATCTCCATTTGTTTCTCGTCATCATGTATTATTTGGTTGAGGGGTTTAACTGATAGCTATATTTTTAATGTTTGTTTTAGTGGTACATGTATAAGTGTTTAGTTTGAAATTATCAAATTTTGTATCATGCATTGTCTTATAACAAAGAAATAAAATTAAACCATTTTCAGAAATGGTCAGAAATTTGTTGATTATAAGGAGGTCAATATAATTAATACATCTAAAGAACAAGATATTTTTGAAAAATGTATCTTTTTTGAAATATACATTAACATGTGTAGTATTCTACAAATAATTTAATTCCTATAAATGAGTAAATTTTTGCTAGTTGATGATATTTTGAATTTTTGCTGCAGATTCCAGCAGATGAGGAAAAAAAGAAAGATGAAACAACAGAAAAACCTGCCGAGGAGAAAAAGGTTGATGATAACAAAACAGATAAAAAAGACACAGAGAAAGCTGACAATACAACAAAAACAGAAAACAAAACAGAGGAGGTCAAGGTCAGTGTTCACTGTGGTTAAAAATAAAATTGAAAAGTTAAAGACACTTGTAGATATGAAAAGAACATATGTGTGTGTATGAAAATTTTTATTATTATTGTGTATTATATTTAATCTATATCTCTTTAATATATAGCCTAAAGTATTGGTTATTAAAGAAGACATTGTTGCAGAGAATGTTTCTTTTGACATCCCTCCTATTCCTGCTGACAAATTTAAGGCCTCTAAAAAAAGGTAAGTATTAATAATTATTTAAATTTATGAATACCATTTAAATTAACATGCAGGAAATTCCATTTTTTTTTTAAAGTTTTCTCTGAGAAAGCAGTTGAAACTGTTAATTGAAAACTTCTGTAATCTTTCAGGCTCACTGATTTGACAGCCAAAGACAAAGAGAAGAAATTGTTGGAGAAGGCTAAGAATGACTTGGAAGCTTTTGTTTATGACATGGGTGACAAGATACATGATGAGGACCACCAGAAATGTTCTACAGAAACAGAGAGAGAGGAATTGTCCAAAATGTTGTCTGATGCAGGAGAGTGGATGTACGAACAGGAGGAAGATGCAAAGAAAGAGGTAAGTAAAAAAAATTAAGAAAGTTGAAATCTTTTTTACATGTGAACATAATTTACATTCTACAGTCATTAATTTTATGAAATGCATGAATGTGTAATAAACAGCAGATATACTGAGTAGGCCATATTTTTGTTACACATGTACATCATAAATAAAATTATATCATGGCAAGCAATGAATTATCATTTATTACACATTTCATCACTATAAATCACAAAAGGTGTTCAAACAAATTTTTCTTTAATCATTTAGATGATTAACACATGTATACATACATTTAAATGTAATACAATTTTTTTTTTTTTTTTTGCACACCACTTGTGATGTATCACAGTGTAAAATGCCAATGTGAAAGAAAAAATTCTTAAATATATGTATTTAAGTATACTCAAATTTGCAAAGGCAAGCTTCTTGCCTGCCTTTTTTGTGGGTAGCATTGAAACTTGTATTATTGAAATTGTTAACAGGTGTTCCAGAATAAGCTTAAGGAGTTGAAGAAAGCAGTTAAAGACTTGAAGCACAGAGTCAAGGAGCTTATTGAACGTCCTAAGGCATTAGAAGCTCTGAACTCAATGCTGAATCATTCTGAATATTTTTTGGTCAGTGTAAAGAATCTGACATTGGGAGAGGATCCTATGTTTACAGAGGTGGAGGCAAACACACTGGAGAAATTAATCAATGAGTCATATGTAAGTCATGCTAGAAAAAGATATTCTTGAATGTTGAATAGTTGACAACTAAAGAAACAATTCTTAATGACTGTTAAAATCTGGTGCAAGGCATGACATAAAAATTAAAAGCATCAATTGTATAATGTGACAGATTTACCCTGGTAACCAGACTTTCTGATATGACTGTTAAAAGTAGTACATGTACAATAAATATAAAGTGATTGAATAGTCATTGTTATGAGAGGGTAATGTAAAAGAATTTTCATTTCTTTAAAGCAATGGTTAGAATCAATGACAAAGGAACAGAATCTCACCCCACTGACAGAAAAACCCAAGATGTTGGTGGAGGATATTGCCATAAAATACCAAGCTCTAGATAGGGAGGTCAAGTACCTAATCAACAAGGCCAAGATATACCGCCCCAAAGCCAAACCCAAAACTAGCAAAAACACAACGTCCACAAATGATACAAAAACTAATGATACCAAGACAGAATCTTCAACAGGAGATGGTGAGAGATTTTCTTTATAACTCTGAATCAGTTTTAGTACCATATATTCAGAAATTTTCATCTCATTTTTATTTTTGCCCCCATTGGGCAAAATGGGGCAAATTAAGCAGAGACTGAGTTATCTTTCTTTTGACACAATTGTATCTGGGCAAAGTTAAAAGGGGTTGAAATCATTTGCAAATTTAATAGAGCAAAAATAACAAGTGGTGAAAAAAGTCCTGTACATGTATATAGTAGTCAATTTGCATATAATTACAATTATTATAACTTCTGTCAACAGATAAGAGTGCAAAATCTGACAAGGATGAGGGACCACAATTGGATGTACCAGAGACAGAAACTAAGGCTCCGAAAAGGAGACCCAAGTCAAAACGAGGGGAGGAGAAAACTGAGGGAGAAGAAGAAATTTTACAATTAGGTAAGACAGTGGAAAGTTTTTATGCAATTGTATCCATAGAGGTGTGCAGTTCTTAGTTGTTAATAAAGTAGGTACTGTAGATCACCAAAATTTCATATATTTCATTGTTATCAATTAGCAATGAAATCAAATCCCACAAAATTTTTACATGACTATAAATTGAATAGGGTTACTTTGGAAACAACGAAATGTAATGCCCATGAAACCTTTTTAGATAACAAATCTACGAAATTTTATCCCCACGAAAAATTTGTGCTTCTACAATAGTCTTTATAATAATATATATGTGAGAGATTTTTGCAAGCAAAGTGTTTTACTTTCTTTTGAATTATAAGTGATTTACAGTATTAGGGAAAATTAAAATCCACTTGGCACTATTGTCCAAGGTCATACTACATATACATTGATTTTCTTATTAAAGGAATAAGAAATTGAGAGTGCAAAGTCATTGGGTATAATGGCATATTATCTTCATGTAAATATTCCTATGAGTCACTGAACACTTAAAAAAGAGTGGATTTTAAATCCACTTTTTTAAAGTGATAATATCATAATGCATGTACATGTAACTCTTCATTCCTTAAAGTGTTCTGTGACTTAAGATCATGAAGAAAACCTGAACATATCCATTTTATTACACACCAATGATCCTTAAAGACTTTGATTCTCTTATATATTATGATATGTATTTACTCTGTTTTATTTTGTTTCATTTGTCATATTGTCAAATTTCATTTCAGATGAGAGTGATAAACAAGAGAAATCACAAGATACAACAGATAAAACAAAAGATACAGATGACACAGTGACACATGATTCTAGCGATTTATAACCCCATTGGATATTAGGAATAATACATTGAACAACTTACTCATTACATGTTACACTGTGTTTGATTGGTTGGATTTAAAGATAAAATATTTAGCAATTATGGGCTTGACATGCAAAGAAAGTTGGATTTTTTGCATTTGAATTGGGGTTATAGGCAAAGGATTAATTTCCATTTTTTGCCGTAAATCTGTTACTTGAAATTTAATTTCACATGGACTTGGTGAACCGAAAAAAAATCAAGATATTTTTTAAGACCTTAAGAAAGATGATATATTGATATCATTTACATTAAACTTTGTTTTATGAAAGACTAAGTACTGTTAATAGAAAGAAGAATAATGTTTAAAAGTATTTTTTAGCATATCATTCAGTATTTCCTAATGTGTCTTGTAAGACTATAGTTAATAGCTGTTGGGTAAATTTTGTTCTTGCTGTGCTTGTTGTTTGAATATTCATTTCCATAGAAATCATTTACATGAAAATAGAACCACAATACAGTACCTGTAAGTGTTCAGTTTTGTCCTCAGCATAAATTGACCTACCTTAGTTAAATCCTATTCTATTTGCATCTCGACTTTAAGTCATAATACTTTTGTAGTATGAATGGATGGTGAATAGACACGATGGTGTATTTGTTGTGTGAAAGATGCCAAATGTGATGAATTATTTATGAACATTTCATGATAGTTTATGAATGCTGTATCGTTGTAAATGTTTTCATGTGATATCATGCTACAGGTGCTGGCATGATGTAGATAGTGTTATATTGTGAAGAAAAATATGAAATATGTAAGAAAATTATCCATTGAATTGGAATCTGAATTTTTTGGCAGTTGGTGCTTTAGGATCATTACTACATTTTTATGTAGCACCTTTACATTCCCTTTTCATTTGTTTTTGGCAATTAATGCAAATGGTTACATGGCATTGTTTGGATTGATGATTGGACAATTGTGTATGCATGTTCGATATGTGAAATGCAGTATATGAGATGGTAGATGGTGCAAAGTTTTTCGTAGAATATGACTTCATTATTGTTGGTGAAAAAACAAAAAGAAATAAAATTTATTTACACTATAAAATGCGTCATTAATTTCTTACCTTTACCTTTCCTATAATCTTGACCTCACTTCCTTTATTTTGCAGTTGCCTAAGTTGCATAAAACTTCAGATATATGAACAGTATATCTTCAAACTACACCCATTCAATTCAATCTTTTTACCTTGATCTCCATGACTTGATTTCAACTACCACCCCCACCCACCCCCCACTTGAAAAGGGGGGGGGGGTCATATAGTGATGGGGTGACTGTCCATCTGTTACACTTTGGGGTAGCCATCACTTGTGCATCTCCTATTTTATGTTTTGGTAGGACACATATTTGGAGTTTCCCATAGCAAAAGATGGACACTGCCATTCTTTCTATAATATTGGGATGTCCCATCTCTTATCCACAACTCTTCCTATACCACTGAATAAAATTTAGCTCTTCTGAGCCAAAGGCTCAAAAGAGCTAATGCTATGGCCATTTGTGCAGTGTGCATAAACTTTTTAGAATATGGGCCATAACTCAAGAACACCTCGGCCAATTATTGTCAAATTTGTCACAGGGTATCCTTGGCCCAAGGGCTCCCATTTATACTAAAACTAGGGTTGTGACCCTTAAACAAGGGGAGATAATTAGGTAAATAAAACCAAAAGAACTGGTTGCTAAAAAATCTTCTCAAGAACCACTGGGCAGATTATCACCAAACTTACACAAAAGGATGAGGATATGTTGTAGATTAAAATTTGCATGGGAAATTGCCCTTGGTCAAAGGGCGTGGTCTCAAGGTCACTTCAAAGTTGACCAAAAATTACATTTTATTAAAATGTTGATATTTTGCTTACTATAAGGACTGGGATCATCAAATCTTGTCAGTTGATGCATCAAAGGACCTCATATCATGTTGACTCAAAAGTAGGTCATGGTGACCTACTTTTTAGGTCACCTGAGTCACTCAGGTGACATAAAGCAAACATATTGGAAAAGCTTACAAATTTGGTCTTTGTTGTGGACTATTTGTTATCACTTGTATACAGTACATATAAACCTCACTGATTATTGCCACAATTTTTTGATGTCCCTCATGTCTGTTGTGGAACATCAACTCACAAAAACCTCCTCACAATTCACATCCTGCAGTGAATTTGGACACCAATTTACTAATGGTAGCTACATCAGAAATTATATATACATATGAACCATAATGGAATGCCATGAAATTGAGCTCTTGTAACAGTCTGCATCTACCATATGTCCAAGCCAAAATCCACAATTTAGAGAACTCCCTATTTTAAAATGTTTTTTTTTTTAATTTTTAAAAGATGTAACTTTTCATATTATATATTAAACACAAAAACATATACATGTAGTGTGTGAATTACAATTGCTCATGCCTCTGTTCATATCTGATCATTCCACTACATAAATATACAAACTTGATTTTCAATTTGTAAATGTTGATAATTTTAAATCATTATACAGTTCAATTTAAATCCTAAAACGATCACCTTTGTTATATTGTACAACTATGCCATGATCTTTGCAAATCCCAAAGGCCTCTCAGAATACATCATTTTAATGCAAATGGCATGAACTTAAATAGACTTTGCACTTAAAGGATGACATATACTGCACTTAATGACACAAAATATTTGCAACAAAACAACCTTTTTATTTGCAAGAATGGTCAATCTAAACTGCAGCTCCAGAAAAGCTTTATTCAATAATTAAAAGTTGCTATTGATGAAATGTAAATCCATTTCAATAGAAGAGCATTGTCGGACACCCACGTATGATCTCGTCTTTTACTCATCAACTGTGGGGGGATGAGTAAAGACGAGATCACCTGTGAGTATTCAACAATGTAGATGAGGGCCATCACATTTTCTTGCATCTCTGTAAGATTATAAGGACGATAATTTTTTCATTGACAAAATACCTATTCTGCACACATTTGTGTGTTGTTCCCAATTTAATGGTAATAGTATATTTGTATAGATAAATTTGTGTAAAAAGGAGATTAACAGACAAACATACACACATAGTTTAAAATAGCTTTTTCTTCTTACATTCACTCTCTTAATTCCCTCAGGTGAAAAGTCAAGTAGCATATTTTGTACATCATGTGCTTTACCAACGGAACTTCTACGTGTTGGAACACTGAAAATTGTCAGACACTGATTTACGATTACATATATACCTGCACATTTTGTTAATTTCATTTCAAAACTTTTGTAAATACTGGTGCCACACAGAAGAGAGAAAGAGAGAGCAATCAAGTTTTTTTCTATAAATACAACATTGTTATGCTAGTTGAATTTTACGCCCATTCTTACAATATTAGCTCCATCTCTCTTGCATATATATCAGCTTAATCTTCAATCAAGGGAAGGTAAGTATGTATACATACATCTTTCAAAGTCTGTTGGAAATAGTCAAAATTTTCAATATTTGCCAAGAAGCAACTGCAAAAAAATACCCTATTGTATCACAATCTACATTTCATTCTTTCAAATTCTGTTGGAAATAGTCAAGATTCTATAAGAAATAAACATAAGTGAAGTTAGGCAAGATGTGAAAGTAACAGAACTGGACAGACCTGGGATTAAGTGCAGTCATCCTCATAAAAAACCCACAGAATACTTTAGACATAGCCCAAGTTTATTTATGCATGATATTCATGTATTATTTATATTAAATATTTCTGAACTGTTTATTACCGAAGTCAAATCTCTACACCTCAAACTCAGCAGGACAAACAAATAACCTTTGATATATCCAGGAATCCAAGATATTGTAGTAAAGAATCAAATTCACAATACTGGTATATACACTGTAGTATGGGCTGAAGACATCCTTTTCCTTGTCCCTGGATTTTGATCAACTTTGTCTCTCGATCTGAAGTGTCTACTGAATCTTAGAATTTAAAGCACCTATTCAATGTATACTTTTGTACATATCTAAGTATCAATTTTCATTTTTCACAATATGTTGATGCAAAAATCTTGTCAATATAAAATTTTGTTTAGATCTAACACAATGTTCTCCAACAATACAAGATTCATATCTAGTATGACTGCTCACACAAATCACATTGCTCTACCTTGCGGATAGATGATGAATTCCATCACTGCATGTTCAATATATAATAAGTCTATGATTTTTTTAAATTATATTTTTCCTGCAAAATTTCAAGCATAAACCTGAGATCTCCGTTGTGACCTTCCCTTGCAAAAGATTACAATTTGAACTAAAACATACATGTACATATAAAATCTAAATTTAGCAGTTAGTCATTTACAACCTACATGTTTAAAACATATAATAAGAATATTTTCCTCTTTACTGTATGAATTCCTTTCTGTTATGACTATCTTCCAATATAAATCTATTTAGACTTTGGACCACATTGTGACCACAGGTATTTTGATAGCAAGAAATCCAATGCCAACTACATAACGATGCCTCCACACAAGTTTTGTTGTTAATGGATCAATGGTTCTGCAGAAAAAAGTTGTATCAGTTTAGTTCAAGCCCATAAAAATGGTCTAAAGCTTGATTTTAACAAAACTGGATCCCTTTTCACTCAATGAATGATAACTAGTCCTGGGTTAGACTTGAGAAAAGATTGTTTGCAACTGACATACTTCAACAGAAGTGTCAGTTTTAGAAGTAGTTCAAATATTAAGAAAAAAAAATTTAAACACATAATATTGCATTTGTACTTAACATGTGCAACATCTTTTATACATGTATATACCTAAAAGATTATACCTTGTACACACAATATTGCATTTGTATTTGAAATTTGCAAGTTTTTTACATAACTAAAAAGGATATATTTTGCATTGGAATGGTACACATTGTTTACTAAACAGTGTTCCAATATGTTAATAAGGATCTAAAAGTGATGTCATAACTAAGACAACTCAACTTTTACTTGACAGGCAACTTATATGTACATGTGAAACAGGCCTAGTCCACTGATTGTCAAGGTCCTTCTTTCAAAACTTTTTGCCTTTTATCTTCACATTATACATGTTACTATCCAGATAATAAAAAACAACACCAATTAAAAAAAATCAATTTTTTGATATACAATAAAATGCTTTCAAAATACTTTTACATGCACATTCTCAAAACTCATTTGAAAAAGTTTACAGAAACCATCTCCTAAGGTCTATCTTGTCATTTAATGGCTAGCACTTGAGAAAATATTGATAAAATGCATATTTCTCACCGAATCTTACATTGTGAATCATGATAACATGTGGCAATGTGCAAGTATATGTAATCAGAGAGTTCTTCAGCATTTTTTTGGAAAATATATTACAGTAATGAATTAAAAATATTTCATTGGGATATTGTCTTGAATATTTTTTTTTTAAGAAGCTCTCATTACGTTATCAATGAGAGCTAAATATATGCCAAATTAATGTACAAACAGATAGGATAATGGACAAATTATGCAGGGAGAGATCTTTGAAAATAAAATTTTTGTAAGTGCTATAATTGTAAAATAATTTTAAAATTGAAACAACAGGGAATCTGAAAATTTCTGAAGATGTCACTATAAAGAATGAAAAAAGCTACACAATTTCAATTGCAAGATTTCATAGAAATCAGTAAAAAAAAAGGTTCATTTCATGATAACAGATTGATTAAAACAATTCAAATGTGAATAACGTTGCCTTTAAACAAACAGTATGCATGCAAGTGTGAATGCCAGAATAATGATTGAATGGTGTGTATGTCAATCACAACATGACTGAGTTATTATGTGAACTGTGAAAACAATAAAGACACAGTAGATCCTATTCCATATTAAATGAGAGTGAAGCACTAGTTAGGAGTTGGTGCCTGGAATGTCAGGAATGAGCCCATGAGACTGAAGCTGAGCTCGCAGAATTGAATTCTCGTTTTTCAGTTCCTCACATTGTTGTCTTAAAAGTTCTAAGTCCACTGACAATCTTTCTGTTTCCTTCAGAGAATCACTCATTCTCAAATTTGCTGTTTTCAGCTCAGTTATATAATCACATGCTTTTGATAAAATTCCTCCTTTACTCTGAAAAGAAAGAACAGCAGGATCTTAGCTAAGAATATGAAACAATATTAAAGGACAATTTTGGCAAGAATTTTCTTCTGTGTTTGTTTCACTCTACATATGCAATTTAAAATTCCTTGAATTACTGGTAATAGCTATATTACACAGATTCTTTTTCCAATGATTGTCTATCAGTCTGTCCATTTGTCACTAATAAACTAAGGATTGTAGATTGGAATGTACTCAAACTGAAGCAACCTGAATGGGTGATATAAGGCTGAAATTACTTTTAGGTCACAACTTCAGAACTCTTGTCCAGACTTAATTGCTGCATATGATTGTAAGTGTGTGATTGATGATTTTGATAAAAGATATTTTAGAATTTAAAGTCAACATAACTGAGCCATGAGATGTGGAAATCATTTCCACGTTAAAACTTTTGGCTGGAATGAACTTTTGTTGCCTATGTCCTACCAAAAGTCATACTTCAAATGTCAAGGCCACTGGCCAATGAGATGTTGAAATCATATCTGGGTTATAAATTTCAACCCCTTGATTTGAAAAAATTCAAAACCTTGAGCATGTTGTCTCTTCAAGTCCTAAACTTAAAAGTTTGTAAAGACCTTGACTCAGGTCATCTCAAAGGTAAAGTCACTTTGCAAACAAGATGCTGAAATCATATTACATATCTTTTCAAGGCAATTATTTTGTAATCAATGACAGATATTTGTTCAATCCTTTATATAACCTGGAATTAAGTTCTTAATATTTGATATGTCATGATCCTCATTCAAGAACATGCCATCAAGGTCGTTTTATGATGACCACAAAATACAGTCATGTAGATTGAAAATAAGGGAAGTAGTATTTCTGTCAACAAAAAATCCCTGATTGATCTTTTTCCTTTAGCTTTTGAAAATGTTTTGAAAGAAATGTACCCCTGATACCTGTCCTTGTTTAGTGTGTTCCTGTGAACAATCAGGGATGACTTTGGATAACTGTACAATCCAATTATTAATCTTGTCTCTCCTTCTTCTTTCCACTGTTAAAAAAAAAGTCAAACTCAATTCCAAATTACTTTAAATTAGATAAAAATAACAAACAATGTGTTTAATACTTTCAGTAATAATTTTGTCCTTTTGATCTCGAGTCAATAGGTTTCTGACAATGTTAGCCTTTGCAATGAATACAAAGTGCATAAATTACGTGTTTAAAGAATCACATTACATATGTACTAAAGAGCACACATTTTGTTGCATTAATTAAAAATTTGTAAGCTTTTAAAACTTTATCTTTCAAGCAAAACTTGAAGAATTTTTTTGAACGATTTTCCTAAAAAAAAAAAAAAGAGCAATACTTGAGAACTTTCATGGACATCATAACTAAATATAAATATTTTTCTGACTGTCTTGTCCAGTCAACTTTGTGATTGGAAAAGTCAATCTCCAGACACAATTGTTCAACTGGACAAATTACTTTCTTGCCATTATGTGAATATTTGAAAAAATATCCATAGAATTCACTTAACACTGTTTTTTCCCCCAGAAATCAAGGATGGTAGAGACTAGGTTACAGATAAGTACTATTATATTTTAGTTCAGAAATATTTTTAGTTTCCTGATTAAACAATCTTTACAGGTCAATATAATTCATAAACGTCTTCATTTTGGAAAATAAAGTTCTACAAATTTCTTTATATCTGTTCAAAATCGGACAAGTAAAAAAATGTAGTTGGACAAGTCACATTTATTGGCATCTTGTCTGATGGACAAGTGGATATTTTAGTAAAAGTTGAGCCCTAGGCATGATACTGGAGAGGTAGGGGTGATATACAAATAAAATAATTCATACACAGATATATTTAGAATTTCCATTACCTTCATTGTGGGTAGCTCTGCGTCTGTCATCTCTACCAGTTCTAACTCCCTCCACTTTCGGGCTAAACCCTGTACGTGGGGCAATATTTCTCTGACCCTGTAGGACTTCTTGTGGGGACATCATCACATAGAACTGACCTATCACAAGAGTTTAGTCACTTAATTCAAAATTTAACTCCAGCACTTGTTCACGATTTTTTTTTTTACTTTATAAAGAAAAATTATCATATAATGCAAGCTTAATTTTTTCTGCAATATCTACTGAAAAATTAAAATTGTAAGAAAGATTGAAATGGCAATCATCTGTGACAGTTATTATCTTTTCAATTATTCTTAGCCTTCATACACACCCATTATTATTCTTTCTTTATGATCATAAAATAATAGGGCATGATAAGATTCAATACATATCCAATATGATAGCATATCTACATGTAAATAAAACTCTTATTCTGATATTAGAAGCTATTTAAGACCTCTTAACTTTCTGGATGAAGCTCCTATGCCATAAAACTTTGCCTTATTCATAATCATACAAGGCTGATGAAAATTTACAAAGGACATTCTTAAGCTCTATAATGGGCATTTATCATTTTTGCCATGCTGCAGGACCTAGATTTTGACCTGAAAGCTAATGATATACAAGATATTTCACCTACAAATTCAGTTTGAGGGCAGTTCAACAAGCCTTTTTGCTAAATATGAAGGATGAAATATTTATGTACCTTGTTGGACTCCTGTATCACCTGTCCAAGCACCTGCAATTTGAAATGAAGATATCAACATGCATATAAATGTATATACATGTATATAAGTAGGATACATTCAGCAAATCATCCAGAATACTGATATTATCCTCATAAATGCTGATTTTATGATTGGGGGTTAGCAATCTAGAAAGTGGTACACATCAAAGGAGTTGAAAAGTAAATCCTTCCCAAGAAATAAAAGCTGAAAAAGCCAGTACATTGTACTAGAATTTTATATAGGGATTTGTGTACTATTTTGATGAAGCTACAGGATTACCCCATGTATAAATCTCACCTGCTGTGGCTGAAACTTGACCCAAAGCTGCATTTGTGCCGGCAACATCTCCTTGTGAGGTGACCTGGTCTGCATTTGTGACAACTGTCGTTGGAAAATATGTGAACCTTGTTTCGGTGGCTTGAGTGTCTGGAGTGGGGCTGCCGCCATTGCTGAATGGGCTCTGTATAACTGCCTGTGGAAAAGATCAAATTTTTTGCATCTGTATGTTATACAATTACTTATTCATCTCTAAATGCTATTCATGTAAACTGCTAAGATAAAAGAAGCATGTCAGATTCTCTTCTCTAAGATGAGTTTTGTGTTAAACTCTATTATCTCTTGTAGCACCAAGAATTACCTGTGCACCTGGTTGAAAAGCATTGGTGGCAACCACCTGAGCAGATTCAGTACCATCTCCTGTTACCTGGACCACTCTATAAGTTACCTGACCTGTCAATGTATACTAAGTATTTAGCATCAGTGAATATATTTCAGTTCAAACTAAAAGTTTGCCATATATATAATTAGGGATGTCAGATCACTCAATTTTTGATAATCAGTTACTCTGACGTTTTTCCGATCGAGTACCCGGGTACTCGGTAAAAATGTATATAAACATAGATTCCAACGAAAATAATTTTGTGGTACTAAATGTATTTATCAAATGAAGACAAAAGACACAATAAATACATCAAAAATTACAATCAGTTTACAGTTCTTTTTAGGATCTATTTGATCAACGCAAAAGGAGGACAATCTGTTACGCAGGTTTGTGATGATTAAACTAGGGAAAGAGAAGGAAGGACGCTGTTGGGGTTGCTAGCCTAATATTTTTTTTTTCATATGTTGGTTGTTTCCACGATATACACTAAATCTACTACGCAAACTGACTTTCAACATTTTTTTTTAAATCTTTCATTATTTCTAAATATTTCTTCATTTTTGAAGAGGGTAGTGGCATTTCTATGCATGTCCAATTTCGCTGCCGTATATAAACTAAATAATTTAAAAATGATTCAAAGATGATAGACCATACATAAACGATGTACAATGAAAACAATCGTTGAAGCCATTCAAAAAAAAAGGACAACAATAGGTGAGAACAGCTGTGTACCAGGTGATTGGTCACTAATTACTGTATATACACAGCCACAGGCGATAACGGGTGTTTACAGGTGTAGATGACGACACGTTATTTACCGTATGCATATTTAAGTTATTTTTGGATTAAAATATATACTTTGAAATAAGAAAAACATATACATTGAAATAAGAAAAATATACATCCGAGTAACCGAGTACCATTTTTAGTATTTGATGCTCGGACGTTCGATCGAGTATCCGGTTAACCGGGTACTCCTTGACATCCCTAATATAAATACAAAATTTTTCTTTAACTTGTTATTAAAAACTGAAATATTTCTTTTGCACAGTACATAAAAATAAATTTAAAAAAATATTAAGCTCTCTCAAGTGTCATAAATTAAAAAAAATCAAATTATCAGGCTCAAGGTGCACGGTACAACATCTACATGTATGTTTTCCTTAAGGTCAGACAAGACTTTCCTCAATAATATAAATATATAACTTTTCCCAAGAACTTATGATTGCAGTATTGCTACTTTTACAAGTTTCCTCACAAAAAAAGAGAGGTACTTTACCAGGCATTGGTGCAAGGTAACCAAGCATTTTATTTCCTTTATAATCATTTAAGATATTGCTTGAATTGCCAAATCACAATTTTTAATATCTTTAAAGACATTTTGGAAACAGTATAGAAATCACAAGATAATAATAAACATCTTTGGTAGGTTACAAAGAGATACAAAAGCAGATTTTTGAGGAATGTTTTCTTCAAACCTTACAGAAACAATATAAATATTAATTCTAGTTTAATCATTGAGATACCCATCAGATACATCATACCAAAACAACTAGTTTGCTTCATGAAAGCTACTAGTACATTGTATCTGTACTGTGCAAGTGAACTGTTCCTAAAAAATCTTTAATCTAGTTTTAAAAATTAAAGCAATGGCAAATAAACTACATCTTGTTTCAGCTCATATTTTAACAAAAAGTTTTACCAGTATTTTAAAAATTAGCTCACTTGAGTTATAATGTGCTTCTGGACTAAATTTGATAATTCTACATTGTGAACCACTATAAAACACACTGGTTTGTTGGTAAACTCACCAGTATCAGTTCTGAACTGGTACTGAAGATTGGGATCAAGGGTAATTTGAGATTGTCCTACATTCTGCACTGTTCCAATCCCCTCATCTCCATCTCCTAAAAATAACCCATACATAATCATGCAATTGGCAAATGTTTTTCTTTTTCTGGCATCATGATGTCTCATTTTTTCATATTTTTTTTTTCAAAAACTACAGAGATCCTTAATGCAATAAAACTTTAATATTTTTTCATGTTAGAATTCAGTACATGTATTCACATTCCCATTTATGCTATTCATTTAAAAAAAAAATTATCATATAGTAATAAGCATAGACAGGGTTTTTTTTAGGTCTTAAAATCAAGGGCCTGGGCCTTTCCATTTGGGAAAAAATAGCGTCATTTAGTTAAAATTGGGAAAAATATCATAATTCACATTTTTCGAGATAAATTCAAATAGGAGCCATTTTTTGATTTGCAAAGCATTTATTGACTAATTTACATTCAATAAATCTTTACTGAAAATCAGCTTCACTTAATTGTTTGCTGTTCTGAAGTTTTATTTAATTTAAGTTTAATTTTTTTCTATTATATTTAGAATAACATTAATGTCATGTTTCGAATTGTCTTTTGGGAATTTTCTTCAATGAAATTGGGAAAAACACACACTTTTTACCATTGGGAATGGGGCCTATTACAGGTCCCCTACGACCCCTTAAAAAAACCCTGATAGAATTCAATTATTTTCATGCCAGCACTGGAAACTTTACTGGTAGGGAACGAAATGTTTCAATTGTAAATACTAAGAGAAAAAATAATTCACTGCTTATGAAGAATATTAATATGGCTGTAAGCATGTAATTGAGTCACAGACTCACAGTGTTATCTTTTTGTCACAAAAAAATGTAAAAACGTCTAAAAATATTACTTATTTTTGTGTGTAATGAAAAGATGACATTTTCTTCCCTTCCATTTAAAACTATCAGATTCTCTGTCAGAAGATATTTCCAAACTCTATATCAGTCAAAAAAAAAATATCAAAATTAACAAGATGTGTTTGTGTATGTTCCCATTTGGCAGCTAATAGCTGAGGTTGAAGTTTTTCAAAAGTGAGTCAAACTCTAAGGTCATGAGGTCAAAAATGATGGTACCTAAAGAAAGGTCTTGTCACAAGAAATATACATGTGAAATATGAAAGTCATAGCACCAACCAATCAGATATTATATGCAAGATTAAAGTTTACAAAAGTAGATCAAACTCAAAGGTCAAGGTCTTGAGGTAAAAAATGTTGATATTGAAAGGTCTTGTCATACATATGTAAAATATGAAAGCTGTAGCACAAACCATTCAGAAGTTAAAAGGTCTTGTCATAAGGAATACAAATGTAAAATATAAAAACCCTAGCACTAACCATTCAAAAGTTATTGGCAAGTTTTAAAGTTTTTGTGGACAAACAGATACAGAAAGACCAAAAAACTACATGTATATGCCCTTGAATCGTGATTACAGGGGCATAAAAAGTGGTGTTGATTTTATTCCCAAAATATTTTTTGGAAGAGGGACTTGTCCATTAAATACTTGTTCTACCTTTTATTACTAGTTCAATTTTTATTTACATGTGATTTAATAGTAGTTTTGTGCCTTTCATTTTCAATAAACACTCACCTGTTAATTGGACATCATCAGAACCAGTGGAGTCTTTAGTGTCTTCATGACTGAAAGGAAATTATTATAATACAAAAAATTAAAAATGTTCATTTCTATATAATTAACTCTGAACCTTATTCTGACTATTCATAAATTATCAGATGTATCTATCTAACAAAAATCTATTTATACATTTATTTCTTTTGTTTTTCAATGAGTACTTTCTTCCTCCCTTCCCCTTGAATTACACTTCCCTATTAAATTAAAAATGATGAAATTGATAAACTTAGAAGTATTGTTGTCTGACTAAAATCATACTGAGTACCTGATGACTTATTACCCCATGAGTACATTATAAGCTTATTTGTATTTATATTTTTAATAATACAGTCTAATCTGCTATGGCAACTCTCTGTATTATAAGACTCTCTGTCCCTGCCTTAAGCATGCTAAATGACAAGCAACCACAATTTTCAAGTCCCAAAATGTCATTAGACTGCTCTAAGTGACTTTGAAACAACCCCTCATCAAGTGGTTACAGATATATCAAAGATTTATTTACTCTTTCATGGTGTTTGAGGATAGGAGTTGAGAAAATATGGTGTCACACTGTCCTTAGAGAAGCGTTTGGAAAAAAAAAATTATAAAAATAAAATCCCAAAAAGAAAGGCAATAACTGCAGGATGATTTTTAGAACCATGACATGCCAAAGCTCTGAAGACTTTTCACAGGCCCCAAAGATATTCATGAATTGTTGCCATTTAACATAAAGTTTTAATCAAATATTTTCTTGACTAATATTTCTTTTCATTTGCTATCAAAAGAAAGGAAGTTTGTGCTTGTATTATTCCTAATTTATTAAAGTATTTCATGAGAGATTAGTATACAAGAACAAGTGCATCTTAAGTTTTCAATGAACTGCATTATTTTGTTTTGTAAATAATGTAAACCTAGTGCATGCATGATTTTCATTTTTAACATATATTGTGTTTTGATTCTCATAAGCACAATGAACAAGTTAAGTCTAGAAGCTACTCTTGGACTGAATTATGTGACTCCTTGTCTTAAGTGATTTATTTCTTGGAGTCCTTGAATAGTCACATGACAGTTTATTAAAATCACATTAAATTTTTTAAAAATTCAATTTTTTTAATTAAAATTTGCATTTATGTTCATACCATCTACAAAGTTATTGAGTCATTCAAATAATTCAATATGTTTCCCCCTCCACTTTTCTTTTTTAGTAGACTTTTGATAATCATAACTTAAATCAATACTCAATTTTAAGACAATGAAAAGTATGTTAATTAACAATGGTTAATGAAATAAGTTGAATTTACAGTATACAAATTTTTAGACTTAATTACTGGATAATTTATAATTTAATTTCATCAAAATGTAATTATTAATTATCTTGTTAACAATTTTAATAATAACTTCTCTTAAAATCAAACGTCTGTATATTATGTATATAGCAAATATAAGCTGACAGTTCTAAAAGAGAATTTTCATTTGCTTAAAATGATTGGTCTAAGTTTAAAAATAAAACATCATAGGGTTTGTGACATTGCCAAACTTTTAACAATTTCCTTAAACAGTACTTTTACGAATTATAACCTTGAACCCTTTTTGAGAAAATATTTGCATTCTCTCGTTGTCAGAGAAGAAACTTTCAACAGAGACATTTCACATTGCACTAATATGCCGAATAAACAAACTGCTCATAAATGTTGAGAAATAGCAATGATTTCAAAACTGTGGACACACGTGTTTGCTGTCAACATTTAACTTTTCCCGCAATGTCATACTATGCGCACAATACCAATACGGAACTATCTGACGCCTTTTTCAGAGAATGTCACCTCGCCTTAACTTCCCTATTTTTCGATTTTAATACAAAAAAATATATTCCTATACAAACCTGGCCTCTAAGGCCTGATCTAGCATATCCATGTGGGACGATTTGGCAAAGGTTTGAATTTGCCTGGAAATAAAACAAGCTTGATCACGGGGCCAAACAACAGGTCACATGAGATGGAAAATTGAACATGTGACAAAGATGGCGATCTTGCACAGAGCTCTGTGTAGGGATATATCAACAAGATTTCTTCAAAAGCTATAAGTGGGTTAAAAACCCATAGAACATGTATAAAACAATTTTTCAAATTCTATATCTTTTAAGACATTGGAAATTATTGCACCATTATGGGAAAATTACAATTTTGAAGTATCATTTTAATGCACTAATTTATTTGTGGATGAATATATTTATTTATGGAAGTAAACCGGTATGTTCTTAATAGCCAATCAACGCCGTCGTATCACCGGTACACTGCTTGTGCAACTTCCGTTAACTTAGTTACACGCATTAGATCTATAACTCCAAAGATGTTAGACTTTTTCTCGATTTTCAGTAAAGGGGGTATTGTATTGTGGTATTTTCAAGGAACATCTCAACTTTTTACACCATCAATCAATGCCTTGATCAAAAGTGTGATCCTACAGGTAATTTTAAAACTTTTTTCATACAATCTAAACAAAATCTGACATATGGCAATTTGGCATGTTGGTTTATAATTATAGAACACATGGCTTAGTCAATGTCCTGTTATGATAAATAAGTAAATGGTTGTCATATATTTGAATAATCAAGTGATTTTCAAGTGTTTTTATTTTTGAATATTATGAAATCTTTGGTAGAATAGATTAATCAGTAAGTATATAGTATAGTTAAGACCAGAACATTCTGTTACCAGGTCCAGCACAATCTCTTGATTTAGCTATATAGCTTGAAATAGCTATATAGCTCTATTAAGCTATTCAAAATAGCTTGATAAAGCTATTTATATACAGTTTTTCAGAAAAATGTTTTTTGTAAGAAATAGACAAAAAGTCGAATGTATTTGACTATTCATATATTTACTATGGGGTATCAAGACAACAAGCAAAATCAAAGATAGTTCTAACATTGCAGCATATGAATACTTTTAAGCAAAAGATGAATTTCCATTGTTTGAGTAACTGTACACTACCCTGTGTGCGTTGAGGCGTGGATAAGTATGATTGCTTCTCATTGTACTGAATTATTACCAATCAATTATCTTGTTGACCATAATTGGCCTCCTTTATAATTTCATTGAAGAAGTAACTGTATCAATTGCTTTATATAGCCCCAAAACTTTAAGAACTTTGAGTACAAAGTCTTTTAAGGAGACGCAATTTGATGACTGATTTTTACATACATTATTTTCAGAAGAGTTCAAGGTTGAATATTATCACTGCACCAAGGTGCGACTTTTTGTGCATGCTGAGAAAATAACACATTCAAGAAAAAGGTGTGATAAAATGGCTAAATCAAGCTATTCTGAATAGCTTAATAAAGCTATATAGCTAAATCAAGCTATATAGCTAAATCAAGAGATTGTGCCGGACCTGGTTACAATCACTAGTTTTAGCAACAAAGCTTGAATTACCTACCGCAGCTTGAAATAGCATTATTGAGCTATCTCAATGCAACTTTTTCAAAATTTTGAATTTTATTCAAAATAGACAAAAAATCGCAAGTATATGACTACTAATATAATTTCATACTAGCAAGGACCAACCTAGGGGGCGAAATGTGTGAATCATTAAACAGGTAATTGTGCGTATTATAAGATATACCTTTGAACTTTATCAATTAGAAACTTTTAGATTGTAACTGATTTATTTTTTTTTTCTGCTAGATATTTATATATCTTGTAATTGGGAAAATATCAAGCAATTATTTTTTCTTAAAGAATCTTTTGTCTCTTTTTTTAAGTATTCTTACTAGGATGTTTTAATAATACAAAGAAATTATTGAAATGTATTTAAAGTATAAACATTGACATTTTTTTAATTTTTTAAATTTTAATAATGATCAATGTGCGCCACACATGCCAAGAAGTCTCTCTAGAATTTTAAACTTCTCCCTAAATTTCTCTGAGGGAGAAGTGAAGTCTCCCTAAATTTTGGGTCTAGGTTGGTCCCTGTACAAGGGAGTTTTTAAAAAACAATCCAAGACAAGCATGCAAATGCGCTGAAAGAGAAATGTCTTCAAGAGCGTTTTTTCATGAATTGTTTTCAGATCTGTTTCAAGTTGAAAATTATTATTAAAGCAATTTTCAGCATATCCTGAAATAAAATGCTTATTTAAAAAAAACATATGATAATAGCTATAAATAAAGCCATTTCAGGTAGGTAAAAAAAGCTATGTAGGTAATTCAAGCTATGTAGCTCAATCTAGTGATTGTACCAGACCTGTTGAAATATTTCAATCTTCATCACAGGGTTTGACATTAACTTTTGTGAGTACTAGACCAGTCGGGCTACTTCCAATAATTTTTACTAGCCCTGACCATAAAATCACTAGCCCTGACCAAACTTGAAAATTCACTTTTTATAAACTGCTAATTATAATGGAAAAAAAAATTAGAAACCATACTTCAGTAAAGATACCGTCTCTCGCACCTGACAGATTTTTCCATAGGTCGTTATAGCCATTAAGTCGGGTTAAGCGTGACACAAATATTATAAGCCTTAATTAAGGAACAATCAATGAACTTAGTGTAAAAATAATTACCCTAAATATAAATACATTGTGAATTAAAGAATATATTATTCAATAACTTCATACTAATTTTTAAATACTGATCGAAGCTAGTTCCCATCGCAACTTGTCTATTACAGCAGGGCTAAAAATAGCGATTGTGTCATGAGGGGAAGTTTCTTTTACAGAGCGATGGGTGATGTTTACTACAAATAAGAATTTAAAAAAAAAAAACTTTTTAGAATATTTATTTGAAAGACTGAAATGAGGGTTATCATTTATTTCATACACATGACCAGTCGGTCTAGTTCACGAACATTTTACACGACCGGACCACTTATTTACTAGACTCGGTCGGTCGTGCCTTAGTGTCAAACCCTGCATCATATTGCATTTTACGTATATTGGTTGGTATGGCAGGGTTTGACATTAACTTTTATGAGTACTTGACCAGTCGGGCTACTTCCCATAATTTTTATTAGCCCTGACCGTAAAATCGCTAGCCCTGACCAAACATGCAAATTTAATTTTTATAATCGCCAATTTTAATAGTGTAATTTTGAAGTCATCTCTCAGTCGCGCATGGCAAGATTTTGACAGACTAGCCAATAAAGTCTGGTTCATCACAACATGGGACTATTGTAGCAATGAACTTTAATAAATTAAATACAGAATATATTTCCGTAACTTTTTATACCATATTGATACTGAACAATGCTAGTATCTACCCTGACTTGTCTATTACATTTACAGCCGTAACCACTGATAACTGTATTTTCATGGCCAATCTCTACACGTGAGAAAAAGTACAATCTGCTTGCATGAAACGAAATATGTGTTTGATTGAAAAGGAAATATAATACTTTTGAGAAATTATAAACTCTTACTATTTTTTTTAAAATTAATATGGGGGGGTGGGTGGGGGTGGGGTGGGGGGGTCGATGCACACTTCAGGTACCTATGGCTAAAAATAGCAATTGTGTCGTACAGGGATTTTTTTCTTTACAGTGTTTTCAATCGGACAAAATTTCTTTAAAAGTTTTTTGAATATTTATTTGGAAGACTGAAATGTGGTTTAACATTTATTTTATCAACACGACAAATCGGTCTAGTTCACATACATTTTACACGACCGGACCACTCATTTACTAGACTGGGTCGGTCGGACGTGCCTTAGTGTCAAACCCTGTATGGCAATCATGGTACTTTTTTTCTCCAGACGAAAAGATTTTAGATTGACAAAAGTATAATGTCATTGCATACATGCTGGACTTTATACATTTTCATTAATTTACATGTCCATGTAGAGTTGCCAGACTGAAAGGAAAAATAAAACCTGTTGGATCTGAGATATATAAACAGTGATTCATTTTGGTCTGTGTCCTGCGTAAATTACGCATCAATTTTGCTAAGGACACAATTTTAAATAAATGTGCATCCCAATGGACGCAATGAATTTATAGAAAGACATGTATCCTTTTAAATTATTTTGGTACAATCTGATTCAAAACTTGGTTGATTGCATCATATTCACGTGCTAAGCAATATGCATGAGTGATTTTGACAGGTATAAGGTTGCCAACAACAGGTCACACTTCACTGTTTAGGTAGCATAGTTCGATTATGTAAACTAACATTTCTGAAGCATATACATTTGTATTTTAGTTGTAACATTTATCATTTTAGTTTTTTTCCCTAGAAGCTAATAAGCTAACAAGTATTTGATTATTCTTCTTCCTGACTATTTTCCTTTTTTTTTTTTTTTTTAAATCTCTTTACTTCAATCTTTAGAACAGCTGGTCTGCTTCTGTGTATTTTATGACTTATACAATGTGTGAGATCGTATTTACCAAGGTGCACACTGCACAGTTGACAATATATTATTTTCATTCCACAAATTCATATATTCTTACTTCCAATTGATATTATAATCCACTCACAGTTACAGTAGAACATTTGCACTTTCGTGCAATACCATTTTTTATTTCACCAGAATTTCCTCTATTAATAATGTCTGATATGTGGTACCCTTGGATTTGGGCGCACTGATTTTGGCATAGGACTCATTGTTGTCATTAAGAGGGGTCCTTTGGACCCATGATAACCATTTTCAAAATGAATCACTGTATAAAATTACAGGCATAAGAAACTCTGCCAGATTGTTTAGATTGCTACTAGCTAAGATGTATGCTAAATTAACCCAGCATTACTCTTAAAAGTACTCTTTATTGGACTGTTTTCTATTTTGATCTTGGGTTTTATAAGTTTATGTTAAGGCCAAATAAAAAAATATGTGTGGTTCCGGTTACCTGACCTTCTCTATTTTATACCCCCGACCCTAAACTTTTTTTTGGGCAATTTTCATATTTTTTCCGGAATTTTCCCCGATTTCCATCAATGGATCCGGTTTAAGATTTAGTTTCAGCAATGATGGCCTCCTTGCCAAACATAGTGCAAGTGTTTAATAGTATTAAGTCCAAAGCAAGCTAGCATGTAGGTGTCCCTTACCAATATTGACTAGTATATTATCATATCACATCTAAATGTCATTTGCAAAGCAGTGATAGGTATTATTTAGAAAAATTAAGAAAATCATTTTGTTAAAAAAAAAAAAATCCCTACCTACCTTCCCTAATTTTTTTGGAAGAGTAACCGGAACCACACATATTTTTTTGTTTGGCCTAATTGTATTATGAATGGGTGTAGAATTTGGAAGTTTTGAAAATAAACATTAATTGAGAAAGCAAAATAGGTAAACTAGACAGGTCAATAATCAAAAGTCTCAGAGGAATGGCTGACCATAGGCCACCTGTTTCCTTTTGAAACTCTTCCTTTAATTGTTCTTGCATTAAATAGATAAAATTATAAAAATATGTTAATCTAGTGAAATTGTAGGTAGAATTTCAAAGGATTTATTTCATGATTTTTGATAATTTTAAAGATCTATAGGATATAATATGAGATTTTAAACAGTTGCAGTTCTCAGTTATTGGTATGTGTCTGAGTAGCATGATTAGATATTAGAAAGTAAACAAAATACACGTATAATGTCATAAAGTCAAGTTTGACAGGAAAAAGTTATGTTAAACATGAAATTTGAACTTTAGTTCAACTGACTTGTTAGTACTTTTTGAAGATGTTTTTTGATTATAAAAGAATTTACATGTTACTTTACTTAGGAAATGTCATAACAAATTGGATTTTGCAAATAATTTTCGAAACATGTTGTAAAAAATCAATTAATTACAATCTACAGATTATAGTAAGTATATAACATCTTATTAATAAATTCACTATGAAATGTAAATATAGTTAAATCTTGTTATCTCAGACTTTGTAAAACTGAGAAAAAACTTTGAGATATTCAAGGATTTGAGATAATATATGAGGTCAAAAATGGTTCTGACTTCTAATTCATTTGAGATATGGTATCTGGGATATTGATATTTGAGATACAAGAGTTTAACTTAATACATGTAGATGTCATTGTACATTTTACAACTGTATCCTTGTTATACTGAAACCTATTTTTTTTTTCTTTATTCCAGGAGAGATCAGGGAACAACTCCTTTACACATGATGCACTTACTCTCAAGTACAAACTTGACAATGAATTTGAGCTGGTCTTTGTGGTAAGGAATTTTATTTCTCAAAACCATATATATAAAAACATAAGTTTTAAACAAAATAAATTCTTGCATCTAGGTCAACTTGAGGGTTCTTGTGTTTTATTTTGGCAAAGGTTCAATTTCTTTTTCACATGCCCCAGTCTAGGACTTGAAAGGATAATTTTGGCAAGTCTAGGAGAAAAACAAATGTCCGTAGTTCAAGTTGAATATTATTATTTTGCAATTTCCTGTTTTAGGACATTTATATATTTGTTTGAATTTTATGAGAAAAAAGTTTTGCTGATATTTTTATAATTTATAAAAAAGTATCCTCCTCATTATAAACAAACCAGAGTTGTTGACTTGTTCATCCCACCAGTGACTTTGAAGTATACAAATCCTCTTGTTTTTAACATGTTTATAATCTTTTTATTTTATTGTCAAAATTTGGTACATCACAAATTCACAATGATTCTCTAGTTAAAGACAGACTTCTTAGATATACTCCATAAACCTTTGCTGTATAGTGATACTGATAAACATGAGCAGATCAAAGGATCATATTTTAATTAGATTGCAGGGTCTCTATACCTCAGCAAAAATGTAAAGATGAAAGAGAGGTTGAACTTTTTATCGTTCCTTTTTAGGATTTAATTGTTTCTTTTACTTTTACAAAAATAACTTATTTTCACCTTTTTTTTTAGCTCACCTGAGTAAACTTCTCACATTTTCATCTTCTTCTCCAGAACTACTGGGCCAATTTCAATCAAACTTGGCAGAAAGTATCCTTGGGTGAAGGGGATTCAAGTTTGTTCAAATGAAGGGCCACGCCCTCCTCCAAGGGGAGATAATTAAGAAATAGCAAAAACTTAATGGCATTATTTAGGAGTGAAACGGTTCACCGCGGTATCGATTCACCACGGTATTTTTTCTCGGTTTGATACACGGTGCGAAATCTCTAATTTTCGGTTCGGTTCATTTTTCGGTTGGGATCGTTATTCAGTCGGGTTTGGCATAAGGTAAAACACGTTACTCAGTATAAATAAGTATAGAAAACGAAAATTTTTGATGACTGATATCTTATAAAATAAATTTTTGACAGTCAAATAATTTTAATCAATTTCTTCTAGTCAATTTGCAAATAAAATTCGTAAAATATGTGACTAGATTTAGAAAAAGAAAGCATAGAACAACGTTGAATTTGTTTCCTTCTATCAAAATGTATCGTATCGAAAATAACCGAACCGAGACAAAATTATACAATACGTATCGAACCGTGAAGGAGGTGTATCGTTTCACCCCTAGCATTACTGAAAAATCTTCTTCTCAAGAACCAATGTGCCAGGAAAGATGAAACTCATGTGGAATTATTGTCAGGTAGTGTAGATTCAAGTTTGTTGAAATCATGACCCCCAGGGGTAGGGTGGGGCCACAATGGACGATCAAAGTTTTACATAGGGATATTTAGGAAAAATCTTCAAAAATCTTCTTCTCAAGAACAGCAAAGCTATGATTGGTCATATTCATATGGAAGCATCCTCAGGTGGTGTAGATTCAAATTTGTTCAAATCATGATCCCCAGGGGTAGGGTGGGGCCACAATGAAAGTTCAAACTTGTAGAGAAAAAAGTCACAGTTAGGCAAAAAATCATGTAAGCATCCTTAGTTAGTGTAGATTTAATTTTGTTCAAATCATACCCCCCTTCCCCCACTCCCTTTTAGGGGTAGGTTGAGATCACTTGTGCATTTAAGCTTTTCAATACTAAACTGATTTTTCCTCTTTTCCTAGCCACAGTGCTCAGGTGAGCGATGTGGCCCCTGGGCCTCTTGTTATTTGATGTATTAATTATTTATTGAGCCGGCTGTCATTGCATGTTGATAAGATAGTCTTAGAAATTTGGCCAAAGTGTTAAAAGTTTGGATGGGTCAGTTTTGGGCAAATAGTCAAGTTTTGATGGGTCAGTCTGGGCCGAATAGTTAAGTGTTTTTGGCAGAAATGTCACTTGGTCGAACTCTTCTGGCATATACCAAGTTAAACTGTTGAATCCATTTAGCTAGATTCTTCATAAATTTTACTCAGTATTAACCCAGAACTTTGAAAATTTAAAGGTCATATAAAAGAAAAGTGAATTTGTTTTCATAAGCATTTATATTAATTAAAGGTATCATTTCATTTATGTATATTTTAACATATGTTTCCTTAGTAAACATTAATTTTAAGAAGCTTGTATGTACTTTCAAGGTAACAATAGATTGTGACAGTTACAGATTTAAAAAGCTGGAATTGCAAATTAGATGTTTGTCCTTAAAGAAATGTCATAGCATTTTCATCTGCCATGGAAACAATCTGCAACTGTAGAATTTTTTTAAATCATTGTGCTTGTCTCTTTAGCGGATCAGATGAGTTCATCATTTTGCTTTGTCTGTCTGTCTGTATAGTCATAATGTACCACCATGCCAAGAACCTATATATCCTTACTGGATATCTTTGGTGTAAACAAAGAAAATAGCCCAAAAATTTACTTTTGGAGTTAAAACAAACAGAACTGCATTATTTCACTTTGTAAAATTAGTTTACCTGTTTCTTTAGACTATGTTATCTACTTTGTAGGTTGGTTACCAGAAAATATTACAGCTATCATACATTGATAAATTCCTGACTGACATTCAGCTTGAATTCAGAAACCGATACAAAAATGTTCTACAGAACAAGGCGAATGTTCTTGTGTATGGGTATGATTTTGATGAGACCTTCAATAAGATGTTGAAGAGTTGTGAGGAGGAGAGTCGAAGGGAAGCCCAGGCTGGAAGGTATTTCTGATTTGTGGTTTATCGTACATCATACCTATGTGCTCCTGTACTGAATTTTCCTTTCAAACTAGCGATTTTCCAAGAGAAATGAAATTTTAATATAATAAAAACACATACAATTTTGGCATGCCTTCAATGTGGGGCATGAATTTGATAAAAATGGCCATTTATTAAGGAAAAAATAGTCATTCATCTTGGAGTTATCAGAGACTCTATGAATCGTAAGTGATTGAATTAAATTGATAAAATTGAAATTGAAAAAAAGCTGCATTTCAAATTCATACTTTACCCCAATTCAGGCTTATAAAAAACTTTAATATTTACAATTTTGGAAAAATTTTCAAACAACTTACAAGATAAACTAGTGCTAATTGTAACGGGAACCGTTACAGGTGTTCCCCAAACGGCTCCCCAATCCCTTATGATGCCCCATTCCCTACAAGCTTCAATAAATTAGACAATACTTTTGTAATATAGATGGACACTTTATTTTTAAGGGTTTTTCATTGGAAAACTACTCCGATATAGCCATATGGGTATTATCCAATCAAATTTCAGCGCATATGCCTGCACATGTTTTTTTTACATTTTTCACATTAATTTTCTTATAGTGTCTCACAATACATACATTTGTGTTAAATATTAAAGAAGCTCATTGAAAAATAAGAGAGATGTAACCCTTTAATTATTAGCCAATCAGAATTCAGCATACACGCATGCATGGACTTGCATTCAATTTGATAGTATCATAATGTAGGAGCTCTATTTGCCTGTCCATGTCATAAATTTCATCCTGTTTTGTTGAAAACCAAAGGAGTTATAGACATTTAAAGTTTCAACCAATCAGATTGCAGCACACCTGCATGCGCATGTTTTCAAGAAATTTCCTATATAACTTGTTGTAGCACCTTATAATATATACTTATATTCTAAATTTCAAAGTATTTTGTCAAAAAACAAGGAAATTATTGAGATTTTTGTATCAGCCAATCAGAGAAGAGTGCACGTGCATGCGCGTGAGTTCACGCTAATTTGACCAGGTTATCTTGTCTAGACTACTAATATATCTTTATATTTTGAGTTTCAAAGCAATTCATCAAGAAATATAAAAGTTACGGCTTCATTAAATATATCAGTCATTTCACTCATTGCACGCGCGCGCACGTGCATGCATGTGCGCGCAAAATGACCTTCGTTCCGAACACCTACACAACATGCCTATTAACCCTAAAAAGGTTTCATGTCAATCGGATGAGTGGTTCTATGAGAACACTCCCAGACAAAAAAGTACCGGAGAAGAAAGTAGAAAAAAAGAATAATAATAATAATAATAATAATAATAATAATAAGAAACAGAGTAAAAACAATATGTTTCCAAACTTCGTTTGGGGAACATAATTACCTTATATACCAGTATTTGGGTTGTATGCCTAGTGTTTGTGGTCATTTTTTTTTTTTTTTTTTTTTTGGTTTTAAAAATACATATATACATTCCTATGTGTACATACACTGATCATTTTAGACTTTTTTTGGCAAATTATTTACTACTTGATGTATCTTTAATTTCATTGCACAAAACAATCTCCATGCTGTACAGTTAGTTGAAATAAAGTGCTGGATACTTGCAAGTATCAAAGTATGCAAAATTAGAAAATCTGGCAACTTACAGTAAATCCTCAATTTTCTTCCACAAAATATTAAAAGGTGTTTTCTTTTTTCTGACATTTCCTGGATAAGTGGTCATCTTCTGTTTATCTTTATAATGCAGTTTTTAAGTGAATACATATGCTCACACCCATTTCATTACTCTTAGTTTCCTGTGGTACTTCCTTCAGATACACATGTAACAGAACATTATGATGGTCTGTTCCACCACTGGTTTACTTAAACAATAAACATGGTTCATTTTTATGTTTGTTTTTTAATTATTTGAGCAAATGTTCAATTTTTTAATGTATATTTGGGAAAAATTTTATAATTATACAATATAACACTGATTTTTTGCTTTGAAAAGCTTTGTTTCATTTAAGATGAAGAATTTAATGTATTTCAATTTCATACTGTGTACCGAGTTACGGGGTATTCATCTCAGTCAAAATTTGCTATACAGACTTGCAAACTTTACATAATACTTACACTGAGTCCAGTGACTGGGACTTATGTATTCTAAGTATGTTCAAACATACACACTGTACTAACCTTTGACATGAATGTATTTAGGTAACCAATACAGGAATGTATAACTAACAAGTTTGGCAAAGAATTTGATTGCAAGTACCTAGAACTAAATGCAATTAAAAATTTCAAATTTCTTGAATTTTTATTTGTGTTTCCTGATAGGAAAATGAGAACATTTGGGGAATCAGAGAAATCAAAGAAGACTGTGGATTCCATGATTGTAAACAAAAAGGAAGATAAGAAAGGCAAAGGAAAGGAAAACAAACCCATCAAAAGTAAGACACAAATTATTTCTATTCTGGTCATGTGTTAAATATGAATATTTTTCATTCACTTTATAAGGTCCTCCATTTAATATATATTTATGATTTTTTTTGTGTTCCACCATAAATATGGGCAAGGGCAGGCATATAGTGTTTGTCATGTCCATCTTTTGTCTTTCCATCTTTCTACCTTCCATCATTCAACTATTCAAGATACTTTCATCACACTTCTATTCATATACTAATACAAATTGGTGAGAGCTTTTCAGCTGTGTCATAATTTTCTGACCTACGTAAGCATTCCATGTGACCTTGACCTAACTATTCCTCATTTACCCTAATCTTAAACAAAGAGGCAAGGTACATTTCATGTTGCATTAGAATAAACCCTCTGTATGGACATGTTTCTAGTTTTACTAGCGGAATGATTTTGCAATTTTAATGTATATATATTTTTACTTAGTTTAATCATTATATTTTAATTTTGTAGATGTGGGAGCTAAGGAACCAGCACCACCAATGGAAGTTCCTACTAAACCCCAGCCAGACCCTGCAGTCAATGGAGATGGTCTGGATGAAGAAACTATAAGAAGAAACAGGGAGAAGATGTTTGCCTCCATGAGTGGAAAGAAGAAAACCAGCAGGTCTGCAAACACTCAACAGACTATATTTATTTTGATCAGTTGATTAATTTATCAGTATTTATATTTTAAAATCAATTTTAGAGTTATGTAGAAAATGAGGGGATGAAATGATTATTTATACTTTTGTAGCCCAGTAGCTAAGAAGCCAGAACCACCAAAGAAGAAAGGCAAACAGGCTACCAAGTGGGATCTGAATGGTACTGCAAAAGACATGTCAAGTCTGGATTTCTCATCTAAATTGGAGGGAGGAAAAGAGGCAGCCATTAATGCACAGAATGAAATGCCATCAATGGAGGAGGTATGTTTTAAGGGAGCAATTATTATGCTTTTTTTTTTAATTTTCAATAAAGTATTTTTATCTGTCTGTTTTCTTTTTATTTTGTCAAAATTTTCCAATTCATAATCATGTCATGTTTTCAAATTATGAATATCTACAAACATGTGTTTTAAATTTTACATATATAGAGGGCTTGTGTTGGTAAGATGAAGGGAGGACTGGAAGATATTCTGACAAATTATGAAGAGGAGGAGGATGATTATGAAGAAACTCCATCCAAGACAAGCAGTTCTTCTGGGTAGGTGTTTGTTATTGCACAAAATTGAAATACATTGGCTTTTATGACTTCCCCTTATCTCCCAGATTTCATGGGTTTTTTTATGTTATTATTTATCTTTTTTTTATTTGTAGGTCATCAGGGGGAGGAATGTTCAGCATGTTCAAGAATCTTGTTGGTTCTAAAGCCCTCACTTCGGAGGATCTTCAGCCTGCCCTGGATAAAATGAAAGATCATCTTATTGGTAGGAACTCCATATAGATGTCATATATGGTCTTAATTTTAAATTGTACACTGATATACTTGTACAGATTTTATTTTCCTTCTCAGCAAATTAATTAAATGTTGTAAGACAAGAAAATTTGCAGAATAAAGTAAACTTTATGGGATGGAGTTAATCCTTCCAGTTATACATGACATTTGGTTGTGTTTTGCGAAAATGTAAAGTAAACATGTCTAAGGCACAGCAATACAGGGGATTCTACTAAATTCTATGGTCCTTTTGTATCCTTTATTTACAGCTAAGAATGTTGCTGGAGATATTGCTGTGAAGCTGTGTGATTCTGTTGGTGCCAAACTGGAGGGCAAAGTTCTGGGAACTTTCACAAGTAAGTAATAATTGTTTCAACAAGACTTGAGACTTTTTATGTGAAACTTTCTCAAAGCCATCTCATGATTTTTAGATGTGTTTACAATTTAATTTAAGAATTTAATTAAAATAGGAAAGAAGGCTTATGATAACAGTTGAATTTGTAGCTATTTAGGATGTCCTTTGCTTTAACAATTTGGAACTGTATTTCAATGTATGTACATGTAATTTTGTTTTGTTAAACTAGAAAAAAAATAATGTGATTGTTACAGCCATTGCAAACACTGTGAAGAAGACTCTGGAGGAAGCCTGCGTCCAACTCTTGGTTCCGAAGAGGAGAATAGACATTCTGAGAGATGCTATGGAAGCCAAGCAGAAAAATCGTCCCTTTGTCATCACTTTTTGTGGTGTAAATGGTGTTGGAAAATCTACAAATCTGGCCAAGGTATATTTCCAGGTTTCAATTTAAATAATCAAGCATTTCTAAACAATTTTATGAAAAGAGAGATGGGGAGTCACATTTTTCCATTATATTGACTGTGTTGAATTGTACATGAAAAATTTCAAAATTCAACTACATTACCCTACTGCTGCAGTATTTGATTGTCTTAAGAGATAGCTGAAATTTTCCTTAGAAGCCAGAATCTTCTTTAAATACATGTACATGTACTTCAATATTTATTTTTAGGTCACCTGAGTCACTCAGGTGACCTATTGCTATCTGTTTTTGTCCTGTGTCGTCTGTCGTGCGTTAACTTTTGAACATTTTCAACTTCTTCTCTAGAACCACTCAACCAATTTCAACCAATTTTGGCATATAGCATCTTTGGGTGAAGGGGAACAAAAATTTTGAATTTCATGGTCCCTGCCCCACTGGGGCCCCAGGGGTGGGGCTAAAACCACCAAAATTGATGCAGTCTTTAAAAATCTTCTTCTTTACTCCTGGACATCAAGCAGCCAAACTGTTGACACGATTGTAATAAGCATTGAGCCCTCTATCTAAATTGTGAAATTCATGGCCCCAGGGTCAGGGGTTCTGGTGCTAGGGCGGGGCTATATAGATCATATGGTGAAAATGCATTAATTCTTTGAAAATCTTCTTCTCTGCTCCTGGATATTATATAAACAAACTAAGTGCATGGTTATGATAAGCATTGATGCCTTTTCCAAAATTGTGAATTTCATGACCCCAGGGTCAGGGGTTCTGGTGTTAGGGCGGGGCTCTATTGATTATATTGTGAAAATGCATTAATTCTTTGAAAATCTTCTTCTCTGCTCCTGGGTATCATTTAAAATAACTAAGTGCATGATAATGATGCACAAGGATGATTTTTCCAAAATTGTGAAATTCATGGCCCCAGGGTCAGGGGTTCTGGTGTTAGGGCGGGGCTCTATTGATTATATAGTGAAAATGCATTAATTCTTTGAAAATCTTCTTCTCTGCTCCTGGGTATTATTTAAAATAACTAAGTGCATGATAATGGTGCACAAGGATGATTTTTCCAAAATTGTGAAATTCTTGGCCCCTGGGTCAGGGGTTCTGGTGTTAGGGCCGGGCTCTATTGATTATATAGTGAAAGTGCATTAATTCTTTGAAAATCTTCTTCTCTGCTCCTGGATATTATATTAACAAACTAAGTGCATGGTTATGATAAGCATTGATGCCTTTTCCAAAATTGTGAATTTCATGGCCCCTGGGTCAGGGGTTCTGGTGGTAGGGCAGGGCTCTATTAATTAAATAGTGAAAATGCATTAATTCTTTGAAAATCTTCTTCTCTGCTCCTGGGTATTATTTAAACAAACTAAGTGCATGGTTATGACAAGTAATGATGTCTTTTGAAATATCGTGAAATTCATGGCCCCTGGGTCAGGGGTTCTGTTGTTAGGGCGGGGCTCTATTGATTATATAGTGAAAATGCTTTAATTCTTTGAAAATCTTCTCTGCTCCTGGGTATTATTTTGACAAACTAAGTGCATGATAATGGTGCACAAGGATGATTTTTCCAAAATTGTGAAATTCATGGCCCCTGGGTCAGGGGTTCTGGTGTTAGGGCGGGGCTCTATTGATAATATAGTGAAAATGCATTAATTCTTTGAAAATCTTCTTCTCTGCTCTTGGATATTATATAAACAAACTTAGTGCATGGTTATGATAAGCATTGATGCCTTTTCCAAAATTGTGAATTTCATGGCCCCAGGGTCAGGGGTTCTGGTGTTAGGGCGGGGCTCTATTGATTATATTGTGAAAATGCATTAATTCTTTGAAAATCTTCTTCTCTGCTCCTGGGTATCATTTAAAATAACTAAGTGCATGATAATGGTGCACAAGGATGCTTTTTCCAAAATTTTAAAATTCATGGCCCCAGGATCAGGGGTTCTGGTGCTAGGGCAGGGCTATATAGATCATATAGTGAAAGTGCATTATTTCTTTGAAAAATCTTCTTCTCTGCTCCTGGGTATTATTGAAACAAATTGAATACATAGTTATGATAAGCAAGGGGACTCTACCAAAATTTTGAAATTCATTTCCCCAGGGTCAAGGGTTCTGGCGCTAGGGTGGGGCTATATTGATCATATAGTGAAAGTGCATTATTTCTTTGAAAATCTTCTCTACTTCTGGGTATTATTGAAACAAATTGAATACATAGTTATGATAAGCAAGGGTGACTCTACCAAAATTGTGATAATTAATCACTGTAAATAATGTACTTGAAAGGTTAATAGAATAGGAGAATTATGCAAGATTTTTTATTGTATAATACAAAAAGTACTTTTATAGTTAAAATGATCAGGTAAGTAATAGATAAATAAAAATGAGACAAAAATAACTTGTCTTATTCAATGTTCATCAAAGACCAAGAGAGTTTAATGTAAGAGATTTCATCAAGGAATTAGTACAGAATCACTGATAATTTGTTAATATACTGTATGGTGATAGTGATAAATGGGGAACAGATTAGAACCTAATATATGAACTGTTAATGAACACTAGAATAATTATTTTCTTGATCCTGATCACCCTATTTTTCTTGCTTTTGGGCAACAAAGCTTCACCTTTCAGTTCATTTTATACTCTATGGATCCTCTAAATTGTTGTATTATACTCAGGTGACCGTTAAGGCCCTTGGGCCTCTTGTTACTCTTTCCTAGATCTGTTTCTGGTTGGTGGAGAATGGTTTCCGTGTGTTGATAGCAGCCTGTGACACTTTCAGAGCTGGAGCGGTGGAACAACTGAGAACACACACCCGGAAACTGAATGCCCTCCATCCCCCAGAAGCTCACAATGGACAGACCATGGTTCATCTGTATGAAAAGGGCTATGGAAAAGATGCTGCTGGCATTGCCCTGGAAGCCATTAACTATGGTAAGATGTCACTTCCAATCAGCAAAACTAGTGTATATACTAGAGGTACTGTGAGCACTGAGCTCACAAATGATACCCCCTGCTCTCATATGAGTATAATGGCATTAACTGTAGTAAGATGTCACTTGCATTCAGCAAAACTACTGTATATACTAGAGGCACTGTGAGCACTGAGCTCACAAATGATACCCCTTGCTTTCATATGAGTATAATGGCAAAGTGCTATTGGAATCCCCAAATATCTGTCCGATCAAAATGTAGAAACAAAGGTGAACGATGGCTCTTTGTAATAAATATTCTTTGAAAGTCTAAGTCTCATTGAATTTTACTCAGTGGTATAGGAGGAGTTGGAGATCAGAGATAGGTACCCCCAATATAAGAATAGCAGTGTCCATGTTTCGCTATGGGAGACCCCAAATATCTGTTCGATTGAAGCATAAAATAGGAGGTACACAATGGGACATGTAATAAAGATCTATGAAAGTCTCATTGAATTTTACTCAGTGGTATAGGCAGAGTTGCAGATAAGGGATGGCTACCACAAGTGTGACAGATGTATGGGAGGACCTACATACAGACACCCCCATCACTTTATACCCCCCCCCCCCCCCCCACTTTTCTTGGGAAGGGGGTATAAAAAGGGCACAGAACATAAAGCTTGCTAGATTATTTATCTAATAAACTGTATTTGCTTACAGCTAGGGACTGCAGACATGATGTTGTGTTGGTCGATACTGCAGGCAGAATGCAGGATAATGAGCCCCTTATGAAGGCTTTGTCCAAGGCAAGTAATTACAAGAATAAAGCTGTATGTTTTCACAGTTGAAATTTTCCCATCTTTGTACAGAAGTACAAAAGTTTTTGTCTGTTTTATTTCTTAAATCTCTCTTTAAAACCAAGTTAAAGTGTTCATTCATTCAGATCTTGACATTTAATTACATGAAAAGTCATTGGGTAAATACAGTTGTTAAAGAGAATATCCTACAATATTTTTTTTTCCTCTGTAAACAGCTGATAAAGGTGAACCAGCCGGATCTGGTTTTATTTGTGGGGGAGGCCCTGGTTGGAAATGAGGCTGTGGATCAGCTAACTAAGTTCAATCAGGCCCTGGCAGATCACTCTAACATGACAAACCCCCGACTGATTGATGGAATCATCCTCACCAAGTTTGACACCATTGATGACAAGGTAACTATCATCTTAGGAGATACCAGTAGGTCTCTTAGAGAAGTTTTCCAGTTTATCTTCGTCAGTGTAAAATTCATGTACGGTATTTATTTTTTTAAAGTTACCCATATTTTTAGGCAAAATTATAAATTTAAAAAAGTAAAACTGAAAATTTAATGCATGAACATGTAAGTAATAAAATATTTCTTAAGTAAAATTTTTTAGCATTTAGAAATACAGATCTAAAATTTATAATTGAATATAAAATTTTTTTTTTGAAGGACTTTTATTCTAGTATCACTAATAAAAAATCTTGAGAATCAATACATGTATTGAAAGTGACTGTCCATCTTACACATCTCTTTCCTTTAATAAAGATACTTTTTACCTCATGAGCAATTACAATGCACAAATTAATATTCATATAACACAAGTGGTTGCACACAAGTATTTGTCAGATATAAATAAGTTCATGCACATGAAATATTATTTTAATTGTTTAATAAAATCCTGTTTTTATTTCAGGTTGGGGCTGCCATCTCTATGACATACATTACGGGTCAGCCAATTGTGTTCGTTGGCACGGGACAGACTTACACAGACCTGCGCAACCTTAATGCCAAAGCTGTAGTAAATGCTCTCCTGAAGGCCTAATGTTCTGATATTGACAAAATGAAGATTTTTTTTGTCTGACTGGTGTAGAAAAGCATACTAAATGTACTTGATGTGAAAGTCATAATATTTTCCTTAAAAATTTCTCAACATTCCTTTCAAATAGCAAACATAAATTACATATGAGAAAAAAAATACTAACTGTAGATGCCAAAGAGATTTTGCAAATTTATTTAAGGTAGTAGTGATCATTTTCATGCATTTTCTAATTACCTTGTATCTTGATCTGGTTATGTATTTTTTCTGTCATTCTATCATCATAAATGTGAGATTTATACATATCATAACTTTTTGTGCCCTGACATTCATTTTTTAAATCAAAATCTTTTAAAAAAAGACTCACTTGCCAATGCATTTCATCATCACTGATATTATTCTCTAGTCAAAGATTGTATGTATATTTGGTATTTTTTGTGTATTTCTCGTGCCTTTACACATTATCTTGTTCCCACTGTGATGGATGAAATGGATACTTTGTAGGAGTTATCTCCCTTCTGTTGTTTATACTGTTAACTATTTATGTTTAGTTCATGGATAATGTGGTTGTGGAGAGAAAGTTGTAAAAAATTAAATATTTAACTTCAAAATTAGAGTTGTTTTTAACTTTGAAATATCAGAGTTGAGTATGTATTAATTATGACTAGAATTACTTTAAGTAATTTTTAATGGATTCATGAAAGTACAAAACCAAACTATATATAATATATTTCATTTTGGAATGATTTTTTGTATTCAATTAGGATATAAACAAAAAATATACCATTAACCAAATAATTTTCCCACAGGATAAGAAAATTTCAAAGTAAAGTGGTTTAAACTGTGGAATCATTACGTAAAATATTTTATGATTATAATAATAAATGAGATCCATCAGATAAGACTACCAAATTGAGATGGAAAGATAATGGTTAACCTGAATTTCCAATAATTTTCTTCATTTTTAAGTTACCTGAGTCACTCAGGTGACCCATTTTGTAATTCATTGTGCCTTAACATTAGAACATTTTCAGCTTCTCTGAAACCGCTGAACCAATTTCAACCAATTTTGGCATAAAGCATCTCGGGGAAGGGAAACCAAAATTATGAATTTCATTCCCCTGTCCCCCCTGGGGCTTAAGGGGTGGGGCCAAATCTCCAAATAAATGCAATCTTTATAAAAATGTTCTTTACTCTTTGACATCAAGCAGTCAAACTGATTGCCTAATTGCAGTAAGCATTGAGCCCTCTACAAAACTGTGAAATTCATGAACCCGGGCCAAGGGTTCTGGTGTAAGGGTGTGGCTTTGTTGCTTATATAGTAAAATGCATAAATTCTTCAAAAATCTTTCCCTTTGTATATTTAGCAAACAAAGTAAGTGCATGTTTATGATAAACAAGAATGGCTCTTTCAAAATTGTGAAACTCATGGCCCCAGGGACAGGGGTTCTGGTGTTAGGGTGGGGCTCTATTTATTATTTAGTGAAAATGCATGAATTCTTTGAAAATCTTCTTCTCTGCTCTTGGATATTAAGAAAACAAGCTAAGTGCATAGTAATAATAAACAAAGGTCACTTTTCTAAAATTGTGAATTATATAGTGAAAATGCATGAAATCTTTGAAAATCTCTGCTTCTGGGTATTGAGCAGATAAACTTAAGTGCTTGATTATGATGAGAAAGGGTGTCTCCTCCAAAATTGCTAAATATGGCCCCTGGGTCAGGGTGGGGATTTATTGATCATATAGTGAAATGCATATTTTTTTTAAAAAAAATCTTCCTCTCTGCCCCTGGGACTAAGCAGACAAACTAATTGCAGAGTAATGATGAGCAAGGGTACCTCTTCCAAAATTGTGAAATCCATGGCCCCGGGGTAAAGGATTTTGGTGTTAGAACAAGACCCTGTTTTGTATAGTGAAATTGCATTATTTCTTTGAAAATCTTCTCTACCGCTGTGTATACAGCAAATATACTAAGTGCATGGTTATGATGAGCAAGGGTACCTCTTTTAAAACTGTGAATTTCATGGCCCTGGGCAAGGGGCTTTGGTGTTAGTGGGGGTGTATTGCTTATATAGTGAAAGTGTATGAATTGTTTCAAAATCTTTGCTCCTTGGAATTAAGCATGTAAACAAAGTGCGAGGTTAAAATGAACAAGGTTACCTCTTTCAAAATTTTGAAATTCATGGCCCCTGGGTCAGGGATTTTGGTGTTAGCAGGGTTCAACACTAACGGTGGACTGGCGGCCCGAGTCCACCAAAAAATTGGAAGGTCCACCAAATGTTCTGGACTAGGTGGACCGTCGGTCCACTTAAAATTTAAACACCGTATTGAAAAATACACAGTAAAATTCCTTTTTTTCAAAAATCAGCATCCGTAAATCAAACAATTAATTCATCCATACTTGTATTTTGCAATAAATAAATGGTAAAATTTGTATTATCTAAATATATCTTACATGTAATATTGATGACTACAATAACAATAACATTGAAACGCAAGAACATTCAACACGGACTTTGAAAAAAGAAGCATGTAAAATTCTTGCCAAATTAGTCAATCTGTCCTTTGTTTATTTAATGCACAGAAAGGTGTGAAAATTTACACTGGGTTACAGGAAATTTTCAAAACTGTCTGTCCTTCTTGAATCCTCCATATATATAACAGATTATATGTTTACCCCATTCTTTTCTTTATATCCTTGTCTATTTTTTTACCCTTGACTGTAATTTTTGTTTGTATATATGTACGTACCTCTTGTACCAGTGATCTGGTTTTGAGTGAATAAAGGATTGAATTGAATTGGAAATCACTTCACGCCTGAACGCACACTGATGGCCAGGTTTGGAGATAATTAGCTGCATTTATGCATTGTTTAGATCTTCAAACAGGCAAAATTTATATTTTATGAACACGTTATCTGCAGTTTCTTTTTTTCTGCTATACATTAAATCACAGAAAAGAATCAAATGATTGCAGTTTATTTGAATAAATAATAATTTAAAAAATAATAAATAAATACATATACTTTTGTTGTTTTGCATCGTAGTGAAAAATTGTTCTAGCCATAGATACATGAAAAATTCACTTGTTTATATGTACAACTTAATTATTGGGATTTTAAATTTTATCTACCATTGGAAGCAAAATAAATGCTGGTTTTTACCATTGTAAATAAATGATATTAAAATAACAAATTGTTTGAAGATATAGATTGTGTTCTTTTTTTTTAAATATTGAAAATATATTAAAGAATATTGTTGAAAAACTCCTGACTAATTGATTTGTTTCAGTTTGACTGCATGGTTAAACTTATACTATATTAGTCTGACTGGACTGGGTACATAAGTTAGTTTCAAGCCTTGTGTAATGAATTCAAACATTTATGAAGGTCCACCAGAATTTGAGAAGGTCCACCAATAATTTTTGACCTGCGGTCCACCAAGGTAAAAAAATTAGTGTCGAACCCTGGTTAGGGGCAGTGCTCTAATGATTATATAGTGACAATGCATTAATTCTTTGAAATTCTCTGCTCTTGGGTATTTAGCAGATAAACTAAGTAATTGTTATGAAAAGCTAGGGTGGCTCTTCCAAAATTGTGAAACATAGCCCCAGGGCCAGGGGATCTGTTGTAAGGGTGGAGCTCTATTGATTATATTGTGAAAATATATTAATTCTTTGAATATCTTATCTTCCCCTATATGCGTGTTAGCAGACAAAGTAAATGTATGTACCTAATAATAAACAAGGGTTTCTCTTCCAAAATTGTACAAATACGAGGGGTAATGAAAAAGTTCGCGAACTATCTCTATATTTACAAAACCACAAATTCAGATCAAAATGAAATTTGGCACACATATAACGTTAGGTGTTATGTATGTCATCAACCGTTTTTACTGAGGGGGCACAAGCATATAATAACTAAGTTTTCTATAGTATTCTATATATTGGCAAAATTGTCGGGGGAGGGGGGGGGGCATGAAAATATTGTATAATTTAGACTTTAAACATCGGACGTGTTTAAAGAAGGCGCCCATACTTTATGGGATAAATATACAGCAAGCTGGTAAAAAGATGTGTCCTTAGTTGAGCAATTTGTTTTGAAAGATCGACAAATTACAATTAGAAAAATAGTTGAATATCTGAACAATAACATAAGTATCAAATCCCTAAAATATTATTTAATTTAGACTTTAAACATAGGAGATATGAAAAAAGAAGTCACAAATACTTTTTCCACATTGGATAAACGACGCTCCCAAGACAGAGGACTTGGGTTGTAATGGTGACCATGCTCATTCTGGGGAAGGATATCCTTATCCACCAATCCTATTGCCGAGAGTTGGCCATTTTTGACAAATGGACTGTTTTTGTTATAAAAAAACAACTTGCATGGTAAGAAATATAAGACTCGGAAAAACCTTTCAGCTTCTGTGAACAGAACGCTAACTGAGCATGTCACGTGACCGACTGGATCACTTGATTCGCGCATGGGCAAAACGGTAGCAGATGTGCATTAAAATGGAAGAGGACTAGGCCTACTTTAATAATGAACACTGAAACCTAATTTTATTTCTTTTATGGAATTAATTCAATTAGTTCGCGAACTTTTTGATCACCCTACGTACAATATAAAGACTAGGGGTACTGTGAACCCTGAGCTCACAAAATGACACCCCGCTCCCACATCAGTATAATGGCAAAGTCAATGTTTTGCTCTGAGAAAGCCCAAATATCTGTCCGATCAAAATGTTAAATAGGAGGTGCAAAATGACACCATGAAATAAAAAAAATCTGTGAGAGTCTCTTAACTTTTTTATTGAGTGATATAGGAGAAGTTGTGGATAAGAGATGGGTATATCCCCAATTTTATAGAAAGAATGGCAGTGTTCATGATTTGCTATTGGAAACTCCACAAATGTATTCGTCAGAAAGTAAAATAGTAGGTCACATTTGCACTATGTAATAAAGATTCTATGAATGTCTCATTAAATTTATTTAGTGGTATGAAAGGAGTTGCGGAAATGAGAAGGGTACCTTCAATATTATAGGAAAAATGGCCGTGTCCATGTTTTGATGAGAGAAAGCCCAAATATATATGGCTTGTCAAAATGTAAATAGAAGCTGCACTTTGACACTATGTTATAAAGATTTTGTGAAAATATCATTAAATTTTATTTAGTGGTATAGGAGGAATTGCAGATAAGGGATGGGGACCCCCAACATTAGAAAGAATGGTATGTTTTGGTATGGGAAACCAAAAAAATGTGTCCAATCAAAACGTAAAACAAAGGATCACAATGCAGGCCCGTAGGAAGCAATTTCAGTTGGGGGGGGGGGGGCGGCACAGCCATACATTTTTCAGTTGACAGTTGAGGGGGCACTACCAAAAATTTCCTGATAAGCAAAAAAAAAAAAAAAAAAGAAAAAAAAAAGGGCACAAGCATATAATATCTATGTTTATTATAGTAATCTATATATCGGCAAAATTATTGGGGGGCACACCCCCCCCCCCCCCCCCGGTTCCTACGGCCATGCAATGGCACTATGTAATGAAGATTCTTTGAACGTCTCATTAAATTTTATTCAGTGGTATAGGAGTTACAAATAAGAGATGGTTACCCCCAAGTATAAAAGATAGACGGAAGGAAGGACAGATGGAGAGACGGATGGACATCCCCATCGTTTTTTCAAGCGGGCTGTATAAAAGAAAACTGGAAACGAACACCTTAAGGTTGAAATTGCGAAGGATTCCCACGAGTGGACACCAAAAAGGTATTTAGTAGGGATTGGAGCTAAAGTTGTGAACTTTTAAATAGACATTAGCAGATCACCAACATATCGAAAGAATGCTCAGATAGATTGATTATGCCCCCGCTTGAAAAGCGTCACAGGGGTGTCCGTCCGTCTGTCCATTACGTTTGGGGACACCCATCTCTTATTTGCAACTCCTGTGTCACTCCATAAAAAAAAAATTAAAGAGCGTTTTAAGGAATCTTTATTACATAATGTCATCGTGCATCTCCTGTTCAACGTTTTGATCGGACACATTTTTGGGTTTTCCCATAGTAAAGAATGGACCATTTTATTCATCTTGGAGCGGGGGTATCATTATATGAGAGCTCATTACACATAGTACCTCTAGCTTTGCAACAAAATAAATCTGTGTATTCTCACGAAGTGTTAGTGACCTGTTTATGTCTTTATTATTTTGAAGAAAAGGTCAAGAATTATATAAATGTTTTCTGAGAGACTGTAGGCAACCTACAGGCTACATTTCCTTTGATATAGAAACAAAACGAACAATTTTTCACTGGTTTTCTGCAATATTAAAGGAATATTAAAGGAATTCATTTCTCCTATTGGAGAAATCTGTAGACATTTACTAGATCTCGACCTTAATAAAAGATACATGACTCTGATAAATAGTTGAGGACTATTTATTTCTCTTTTCAACTGGAGATGTGCACAATTTTAACAGGTAGGCCACACGACAGACTTCAGGTTCACATAAGCCAGGGTTCGTAATATTTTAATAATCAAGAATTAGGATACAAGCTTACTCTGTCTTTATTACTTGATAAAATCCAATATGAAAAAAAAGATTCTTTGAAAGGGAGTTTATTTGGAGGTAAAAGTTTGGGGTTTTTTTCAGACAAGAGCTTGAAATAGAAAATTGAATCATGTTTTTATTTTGCGCTTTTAATATTTAACAGACCAAACATAAACTTCTGAAATGAATATTTTACATTCCACAGAAATGGAACTACATATACTTATATCTTCTAATTATCAGTGAAAAAAGTTTCCAATAAAACTACATGGAAGTTGTTTGCAACGTTATATTGAACTCCCCGTCTCCTAGCCCTTTCTCGAACACTCCATCTCATTGTCCAATTTTTGCTAAAAACTACAGTGTACAAGACAATAACAATAGCTTTGTTGTTCTTGAGAAGAAGACTTTTCAAGATTTTTTCCTTTATATTCCTATTTAAAACTTTGGTCACCCATTATGGTCTCACCTTACCCCCGGAGTCATGATTTGGAAGAAAAAAACCCTTTGAAAAGAAAATGTTGCGTAGCATACAAGTCATATTGTATATGTATCTAGCCACGCTATGTGAATTGCTAAGCTGCTAAAGCATTTTGAAAATTACCATTGAATATAGCTAGTAACGGAGGGGATTCACTCACCACAAGGTCAATGGACCTGACTTTAAAAAAAATCTAAAAACAATGTAGAAGATATATCTACATATAGTCTATAATTTCACAAATTTGCAGACTAAAAAAATATTTGATGAATATCATCAAAGATAATTATTTTATGCACTTCTTTTTCACCATTGTAATCAAAAAATAATCAAAAAGTAATCATGCTTAAGACCTTTTTTCAGAGTAATCAATTAAATTACAAGTACTTGAAATCATAAGAAATCCATGATTACAGTATTACTGATAACTCATGATAAGACAGCAAACTGTAATCGATTACAGCTGATTACGATTACTTATTATGATAACCCCATCCCTGATTCTGTATTACTTGCATTGTATGGATAGATAGCTTATAACTCATCTGGTAATCAGAGCATTGGATAATGGGAAATAATCGTAAAAATGAATTTCAATCCAAAAAGATGTAATACCGCCCACAAATTTCATCTCGATTTTGTAACTCAGATATTACACCAGTCTTAGGCATGGCCCCCCTTTTATCTCTTGTATACTTCTACTAACGTATGATTAAAGCAAAAAGAAAAGATAGGTACTGTTAGTTAATGAACAGAGATTTACAGCTCTTTAATCACCATTCCTCTATCACAATGGTTGGTATAGGTCTATCTAAAAGTGGTTTTGTTTCTTCATTTTTCCTACAAATAAGATTTTGAGTCCTATCAACAAATTATAATAAAATATGCATAACATTTAATAAATAAATATTCAAGAAAAGATATTTAGCTAAATTTTTGCGTATGTATTTTAAAATACATTTCAAGTATTCTTTTTCAAATATTTCCATCTTACCTGTTTTCCTCAACAAAAACTTCTGAGGGCATGTTCTCCTCTGGTACTTCCTCTATAACATCCGGAGCTGGAACTGTGTCATCTTCCGGTAAAATCTGTGTGATGCTGGTGATCGTCCCGCCCTCTTCAATGGCAGACAAATTCGGAGCACGAGAAATATTTTTTCCACTTATGGAGTCTTTGATTTTCTGAGCATTTCTCTGATGAACCGAAATTGACTCCTCGTCTAAAGGAACATCGTCTGGTACTTGTTCTATGGTGAATCTACCAAAAAACAGGGATTTCTTTTAAACAAGATTAATTCCAATATGTCTTCTCCGAAATAATTTCAAACATACAAAATTAAACTTAAAAACTGCAACCTAACCCCAACAACATGACCACCACCACCACACCGACACCTTGCACCCATTACTCCATCTGGAAATGAAAATATAAACCTCTAATTCTACTCACAATTTGCTGTCTAGGGACATTTTCCTACGCAACCTGTGAAAGCGTGTTAGTAAATGCAGAGTTACAACCAACGAATATACAGGAACACCTTTTTTAATGCGAATACAATAGACATCTTTGTCCCAGCGCTACAAGTGTATTAATGCAAAGCTGTAATTTAAGTAATATTCCTGTTACGTTTATAGCTAGAGGTGAACTCTGAACAACAAATATGTGACAACACATGTCCTGTTGAGTATGTCGATATTTTGTTAGTGCTTCTATTTCTTAGAGTACAGGAATAATTGTCTTGCATTAATAGTATATATTTAAAGTATTGTAAAGAATTATCATAAAAACAAGGCACTGCCATTGATACTTGCACGATATACACCCACATGTAAAGCGGTTTAATAAGACGTTATGTACGTCAGTTTCATCAAGCAGTCTCTGTACTGAAGTATAATTAAAATAATTACTTAAGATTTTTGATCTACATTTAATTTTATGACTGTGCTTTATATCCATCTCCTTCTTTTCCTGTACCTTGAAGCTTTGTGTCTGATAGCTGGGCTATCTAGCTTTGAAGGAAGCGAGTCAGTAGAGTTATTTTCTGCAATATCTTGCTCATACTGATTTTTCATTAAGGACAACGGAGCACTCTTTTTCCTTCGCCTATCGTTGATTCTTCTGTCTATTGAGTTCTTTTTTGCAAACGGACCAATAGTTGTAGCTCTTCTTAAAGGAACATATTCTGGAGTTGTATCAGGATCCCCTTCATTACCATCACGTGATCTCACAGTTTTTGAAGAACCAAGGGAACCTGAAGAATTCTTCCTAGAGTCTGCCAACTTGAACAAAAAACTTAATGGGAAACTTCTTTTCCTTTTTCTTTGATTCTTGTCAACTGGAATGTCTTCTGGTTCATTGCCGGTTGTATTGGCACGTGACCTCGCCTGCCAATCTGGATCTGCTTGATTCAGTCGGGTATCAGACGACCAGGCAGATCCTCTTCGAGCTTCTGATACCTCGAATGAAATTTTTCTCTTTGGTTTTTCTGTGGTTCCTACCACTGAATGGGTCCTTTTTGCCTGTCCAGGATAATGAAGATGATCCATGTGTGGATTTAGGTGAACAGAGTAACGCTGCGATGGGATGCTTAGCTGATCACCGTACTTTGATGGACTGAAATGAAACAGATACTTATATATACTTGTATGAACCTAACGATTAAACGAACTGAATTAATACATTGTAGAAGAAATTACTGTTTTCCACTTATAAGGCTTAGCATGGATCCCGCAAAGTTGTGGCTGAACACAGACGACCGACGATTGCGGTTATCGTTGTAGTCCACCATTTCATCAGGGTGGATAATGCGCTGATCTTGGAGAGGAACAGACCTTGAAGAAGAAAACAGCAATATAAATTACATAAAAATTCAAATCTGTCTTCAACAGAATACACTATACGTTTATTTAAAAAGTACTCACGCTAAATTGTAAGTTGAACCAAGGAACATTGGCTTCTTGGACGCTAGTGATGCGTTGGTATATGGTAATTCAGTTACACCGTCGTCAAAATTGGCATCCTTAATTAATGGCGGGAAATCACCACACATTTCGTCAACAAGAGTGACGGCTACCTACAATGTACAAGATTTGTCTATAACACAAACAACATAGATAAAAGGACAAAATACTTGTTGGGCATTTCTCAGTTATTAAAAAGATGAAAGCATTGACTTATGAATGATTGAATTAGTTTTCCACTCAAAGTCGTATTAGCTTACCGCCCAATGTCTATCTAAAAGCCAATTAATATCATAATCATCATCATCTTCACCAAAAGGATTGATCAATTGTTCGGCAACCTTCAAGGAAAGGAACAAAATAAAAATTAGCAAGTTAAGATACAAAAATGATATTTTAATTCCAATATAAGAAAAGCAACGGTACCTTTAACCAACCCATGTAGAAGAAGAATTCTAGGAGTGTGAATATGGGTACGTACATATCGTACTCATAGTTAGGGTAGCGCTTAGTGGGATCCAGGAACTGCCGCGCTATCAAGCACGTGAGAAAGAACGAATGGACTGCAAGAGTCACAACCTAAGATAGTTCAAAACATAGGATCTGAAAGTGGCACAAGGTAAAATTGCAGTTTTTGTTAGTATATTATTATTTGAAATAGACTGAGGTATTATACCTGTGTGTAAACTAAAGGTATTGTTATCCAGTCGTACACAAAACACAATGAACATCGGTCTCGGAAATCGGCGATTGACTGAAATATACAGTTAACAGCAAGTTATTATAAATTTCAAGAACTTAACAAGAGAGGCACGGAATATCACCATCAACTAATTTGTTACCTCAATCACCATTCGGAGCCCCCAGTCAGTTTTGATGTAATCCTCTTTCCGTGCATGTGATAAAACTGCGTTTGCCCACATGAGTGGTACCCAAAATTTGTTATATTTACAATCTACTTTTTCATACAGAATGGCTTCCTCACTTGTGATGAAACCTGCAAAAAGTATGAAAAGTAAACAAAAGAAAAAAGTGTCAGAAAAACCTAAATACAAAACTTTTTGATTTAGAAAGGACAGTCAGTTATATCATTCGAAATATACTAGTAATGGACATTCCCGATAATGAATAAAAAAAAAAACTTGACTTGTAAAGGATTACCTGCCTCAACAATGTGGTCTAGAGTTGGGAATCTCTTCATTACAGCTACACTGATAGACCGACAGATTAAGATGAGGCCAAACATCATATAACGGGCTACAGTTCTCCGGATTATCCGGGGTTTGTCGTCCTTTCCCTGGAGATAGCAGCACATCAGGTACAAAGTTCTACCGTCAGCAAATCAAATACAAAAGACAATTTGAAGTATATTCAAATTAAAGGTAGGTAGCTTAGATTTGCACTTTAATCAGAACCATAGAAAGAATAGAAGCTACAATGCTTTGTCATAAGAAAATGGTTGTGATTGAGGAACGGAATAAGCAATACTAATACGAAATGAGAGAGTGCCTGATTCTTTTAGAATATTCTTTAATTGTTTCGTATTATTTTATAAGCACTACATATATGAATTCGTTTGTATAATTTGACAATTTAATTTCTCATGATTTCATAATTTTGTGTTGCGGCATCTCGTGAAAGTATCAATTAAGCCGTAGATGGGGTTTATTACCCACTTTCGGCTGCCTGTTTACGTCTGAAAGTTTAGATGGGTATCAATTCAGGGCCAAAGATAAGACAGCAATGAATTGATGATCATAAGAATAAGTGTGCAAGAAGAATGCATTGATGTGCAGTGACGTGCCGAAACGACAGAATCTTTGATATTACTAAAAACGTTTTCAAGAAAGCACTTTAGAATTTTCTTTAAATGTTAGTACTCTTTGGTTTGTTTTTCTAGGTATCTTTTAATAAGCATAACATGGATTTCTCTGTATTTGACATTTTTTTATCAGTATTGGAAGGTATTTATATATGTGTGTACGTAAAAGATACTTAATAGGATCTGTTCAGTTTTCAGGACCATTTTAAGAGAACCAATGAAACAATGGCCTGAAGGAAGTGGGTGTTCTGTAAGGACGCAATGATGAACAATGACGTGAAGGAAAGAATCAATGAGGATTAAAAATGAAACAGTTTCAAAAACCACATTTGGAAATACTCTTTAAATGTTAATTAACCTCACATTTTTTATTTTCCGAAATATAATTTATTCAGTGTTGCAGGTATTTCATTTTAGACTTTTCTTTTCAGATCTTGAATCCATGGATACTCTAAATGGATGCTGAAAATATTCATATAAATAAAAGTAATGAATCAACAGAGGTTATATAGGATAGTGCATTAATTCAAAACAGTGACGTAGAACGAGAGAATGTATAAAATGTTAATTTCTGTCTGGGTCTGTGGTTTCCTGTTATTATTTAATTAGCATTTCATGGCATTTCGTCGTATGTGGCATTTTTCTTATCTTGAAGATTCGCACCTTACAATAACTATAAATTTCTTGTGTTATATCCAACAGCAATTCACTTAACGAATGTCATATTTGAATATAACTGTTTTTATTCTATTGAAGGCTCTTTTTCAAATCAAAGAAAAATATCCTAGACTCACCTTTTGTTATTTCAACTGGCTTTATATTGCCATATTCATATTTGCATCTATATAAAGTAATTTTCTTGCAGTAATGTACTGGTGCATTTTTGAGGTTATGTGAATTCTATTTTTATGTTCCAGGGATATAAACAGAGTAATGTTTTACCTGTCAGGCCACGGTACATTTCTGAACTGTTGCCACCATCTTCCGACCACCATTGTGACGTAGAAACCAAGAACAAAAGATACTGGGATTAAACTTGTAAAGTTGTTACAGTGACGAGCAATGCTCTCAAATATTCTGAAAGAGGATAAAATAATCATATTCTTTATCCATTCCATATATTTCTTTTTATAATGATAATGTTAAATCCTGTTCATTTCAAGCCATTTCGAGAACTTTGTAGCTTCTAAAATTTTAGAAACACCTATTTCACATTCTGAACATATTGATTAAAGATTTAATACTATCGTTCTCTGAAAGCTATTTTTATAAAGAGTCTTATTGTATGTAGAAATTCTATACATACGTACACTCTTTGTTCCTCGTTTAGAGCTAGTCTGTATGTGAGGCTGATGGCTGCATATAGACTAGAGAAGATAATCATTTCCTTATACACAAGCTTGTAGACACTACCCTTCCACATTCCCAAGAGCTTCACAAAGCCTCCCAGGGTAGTGTTAGCAACCCGGAATTGGTACGTTATTGTCATTTTTACTTTAACAATAGACAGACTACGAAATTTCCACAAACTTTTAATTGGTGTTCTTCAGTTTCCCTCCACTGAGTTGTTGAAGAAAGCTGAAAGTTGAACATATTTAGAGGAAATTTAGCTTGCAACAGTTAAGTTTTGTGCATATCAGCATATGATGAAAAGATGAAAAAAGTGTCAAAATTAAATGCTAATCATACGATTTCGTGTTTCCTCTCTTTTACAGTGGACTTGGCTTTTCTCTTTAATGTTAATCCAGATTTTGAAAAATGCTTAACATTTCAACATGTTTTGAGGGGTTGAACTTATGTTCCAACTCTCTAGGGCATTATGCGAAAAATAACTGCTCTACTGGTCTTTTATATGTTATATTACTCCACTTCTGTGTTAAACAATTTACTTTTAATTACAAATGTACCCTGATAATGATAAACATGTCTATGCACCGCTGAAGAAATTAAAACACCACATAATCTTTCGTTTTTATTTGACAATATGTAGAAAACAGGTTAAAGAAATTATTACTGTTAATGAATGAAGTCTAAAGCTTTCTTCAGCTTTCATTTTATTGAGCATAGAAAGAAGACTGTGATCAATATTCCATGCTGGGTACTAGATGGAGAGGTTCATTGGTGATTAGAGGGGCTAACTGCAAAACCTGTCCGAAACTCTGGAATACACACAGTCTTGTTTGGTAATATAGATGTACTGTACTAATAAAGTACTTCTGTTACACAGCTTACAGTACATTTTGAACTAATGTTAACGTAATAATTTTAGAGATATTTCGATAATTGATAAATGTTTTTTCTCTTATGTTTTAAAAGTACAAATCCCAGGAGTACATTCTGTACTTTGATTTATTTCTATGCCATCGCAATATGGCTGACGATTTACGGTAGCTAAGGGAACTTTCTTAACGCTCCATAAACTATTTACAAAGGAAATATTTGGGACAATACGAGGATAAAGCTAATGTTAAGCTGGTCTTAGTTTGATCAGAAAGAAGATGCACGAACAAGGCGATCGAAATGCCTATATAGTGCTACAAAGATGAAGGTGAAAAATTAAATCTCAATTATAACAAAATTTTCTTTGAATTTCATCTAACAGTAAAGTATACTTTATGCAAAATCTCCAAATTTTGCAAAAATCTCACAAAGATTAAAATTATTTGCCATTGAAATAACATATACAAGAGGGCTAATAGGACCATTTTCTCATATTATAATACAATTTTTTGATATGAGTGGGTCTTCGCTCCATTTTTTTGAAAGTTTATCCTCAAAGTTTGCCTAAACATATACATTTTTTGGTTAGCAAAAACATGGAGCAAAGGCCCACTATACCTTAAAAATACAATGTACACTATTCATCAGGAGCTGTGTAGCATAGTGGTTAGCGCGCTAGTCTTAAAGGAAAATAATACTCAGGATTTTTATTGCTAGGGTTCGAACCCCTCGAATACCACATTTTTTTTTAAACAGAATAATTTTTGTCGTGAAATTTTTCCTCATAAAAGTTTTGTTTATCATAATTTCGCAAATTTCAGTAATAAGAACTTTACTCTAAATACTAAACTCATAAAATGAATATGATTTATATATTTTTGAGGCTGTAGGCATTCTGCACGCCTTGTTCACCCATCTCCTTTACACCGTAATTTAATCGACTTATTCTATAAGAAGAATAATGAATAATAATTAGTTCTTGTTAATAAAATTAAAAATAAATGTAATATATAAATCTGGAATCTTAATAATATATTTAGGAATTTTTTTCTTTTCTTTACATTTAGATTCAAACACAATACTCCGGAAATACCATGAAGGTAAGAGTCGTTAAGAGACATCGTACTTGACTTTACTAGACCCTTTCAATGACAGTAAAACTGGACAGTTTAGAAGACAGGTTCATATCTGAATGACTCTTCAAGAGTTCCAGAAGTCTTAAAGTCCGCCAAACAGGATTCGAAATGTATCTTAAGCAACAGTCAGGGGTTTATAACTAGACCAGTGTGAATTCTTGGAAGACGATCAGGCAACCTAGTCAGGAGTATCCATAAAGCTGAGTCCTTCAGAAGGAGGAGGAAATTAAAAAAAAAGGAACAGAATAGACAAAAATCAAAATGGATGAAGGACCATAACGGGGAAACTGTACTTGCTCTTAGACTAAATGGCATCTCATACAAAGTTAAGATTTTGGCGCCACAAAACTTTTTTTTAATCACAGTTTTACTTTTACTAAAGGAATGTTTTGCAGAAAATTGGGACTGGGATGAAAAATGAACTCAACTAAGTTTAATAGCCCCGGATCATAGGAAATGTCCTGGGGTGTCACATAGGTTTTGATAGCTGCAAAGGAAAAGTAGGAAAATGAGTGAAAGTAATAAAACGGTAGAAGATTGCTTTGTTCCTTCTGAGAAGAATTCACTGCTGAATTGGACAGGAAAGTCATTTCTTCTGTTTTAACAAGAAAAATGGCATACATTAAAATTGGTAAATATGTGACTTGAGATACTCATGAATGAAACTTTTTGGATAACCTGCTAAATTTGCCGAAATGTAGATAAATACCAAAATAGAAAGATAATGCTGGAGACACGTCCAAGTTCTCAATTTGAAGATATTTTGGACAAACAACAGGTAGAGCCCTTAAAATTTTTTGAAAAGAAACTAATCAAATAGAGTTTGCTCACGCAGAAAAAGTAATCACAGAAATTCCAATATATGTATACGACTTTTATCAGACAAAGAAGCCTGAAGGTGGAAAGGGGTGGAAAAAGTTAATATATCCAAAAAAGTGGGTTTTTGGGGATTCCTGCACAATAAGTACGTAGTTTGTTCCAAAACGTGAAATGAAGCACATCAGATTCAAACAGATGTCCGAACTAGTACAAAAAAACACAAGAATTGCCATAAATTTGACTGTGGCATCGCAAAGGAAATAAGGAATGTGTTCTATGTAGTAACGTACAATGGCTACCAGTCTCATCATATTAAACCTTCGCCCATAGTAAAGTATCCCCCGGAAATATTATTACTAGTATATATAGCGAACCTTCACCAAGGTTTAGTACATATTATTTTTTTCGCATAGTAATCCTTCAAACCTAACCGTAAACAGTTTTTTTTGTATATTCTATGGGAAATATATTTTATTGTTGGAAGTGTTTACCAATGTGTGAAATACTATGCATCGGATTTTGTCGGACCCAAGAAGCAAACTGTTTGGTTTAAAGGGTGGACAAACGCATTTTACCAGAGAACACAGTCAATAAATGTTTTGTTATATAATACATTTAACTTTTTATTTTGTCGTGTCTTACACAGGTTTCCATGTTTAAGATAATTGATAAGATATAGCTGTTACAACCTTAAGAGAGAGTACAAAACGTCATAGCGGTACAATATCTCATTGACAGGCTCAATATCTCACTCTGCGGCCCAACATAAGTTTTTTTGATCGCTTAGTAAAACAGTGGTAATGTTAGACGTTTTTATATAGATTTATAACGGAAACAATTTTTATAAGTATAGCAATAAGAATTGCTATAACCTTTTAAAATTGGTTCCTATATAAATCTATACTTAAAAAGTCTAACATTTCCAATGCTTTACTGAGCAGACATACAAAACCGATGTTTGACCGCAGAGTGAGATATTGAGCCTGTCAATGAGATATTGGACCTCTTACGTCACACTGTTGGCAGGATAAGCTAAATCTGTTTTGCATCGTTGAAGCTCGACAGTGACAGAATTGATCGAATTTTACGGCAGTTCGGGTGAAAGAAATTTTCATCATGGAAGCCAGCACAAGCTTAAGATACAAGTATGTAAAAAATAATGAATAAATAAATAAATAGAAATAAAAGGTGTAACAAAACATTTATTGACTGTGCTCTCCGACAAAACGCATGTTGCCCTCGAACCCAGTCAATAAAGGTATAATATTGATGATCTAAAAATACCGCGTTCAAGTCCAATAAAATAATCTTCACTTAATTTTTTATGAGCATGCATTTTTAACAATAAAAACATCTGTTCCCAGTTCTTCTCAAATCCAAAACAATAATTTCAATGTTCAATAAATTGTGAAGAAAATTTGCAGCTTTAAATACATTTTATGACATTGGTCCATCAAGACACATGTACCTTTTTAACCATCATTTCATAATTTAAGTTTAATTTAAATTTAAATTTAAATTTTGTTGATGCGGAATCTTGTACTTCGTGTTCATTTATATTGTTATTAACAAAAGGTCAAGATCTAGTAAATGAAAAGTGCCTACAGATTTCTCAAATTTGAGAAACAAGTTCTTTAAATGATCCTTTACAAATATAGCTTGATAAAATAAGGTGTATCGGGACATAATTTTTTGGTAAACTTAACAAAAAACATTTTTTATCTGACATTTTCGATGAAAAATGAAGGAAATCAAGGATAAAGAAGATGGGCGAACATGACGAGCGAAAAGCCTATAGTGTGACAAAATCTGAATTCTATCAAAAATTTCCTCGATATTTCATCTAAAATTAAAATATACTTTATGTAAAATCTCTACAATTTGCAAAAATCTCACAAAGATTGAAATTATTTGCTTATGAAATATTGTAAACACACTAAAGAGGGCAAAAAAGAGTCATCTTCTCATACTATAATACTATTTTTCGACATGAGTGGGTCTTCGCTCCATTTTTTTGAAAGTTAATCCTCGAAGTTTGCATAAAAATATACATTTCTTGGTTTCCAAAATTATGGAGCAAAGACCCACTATACCTTAAAAATATACTTTTATGACATGGCATTCGCATCTTTTCGAGAAATACTTGAAGTCCATTTAGTCAAGGGTCATATCACAAACATGATTTTAATGCCACTATTCTTCAGGACTTGTGTAGTCTAGTGATTAGCGTGCTAGTCTCGAAAGAAAATGATACTCAAGATTTTTATTGTTAGGGTTCGAACCCCACAAATACCACATTATTTTTTTAATAAAAGAATAAATTTTGCCGAAAAAATTTTCCTCAGAAAAGTTTTGTTTA